TTGTAAAGTTTTCATATTGCTACTTTCATTACATGGTGTTAGAACGGACAATAATAATTGACAAGGAAGGAAGACGGTGTCACTACCATCGCATGACGTGCTTCAGCTATATGTGGACGTTTTGAAAGAGCAACATCCTATATGTAAATGCCAGAGAGTACCATATGAAACAGTCATTCTGAAGCTTCGCGGACCTAAAGCACCAACTATGCAGTCTGTCTTGGTGTTTAGGGGAGTAGTATTCGTATGTTTTGTGCAATTGATTTTGTCTTCAGATGGTGAGTATACACAATAACTAATATGTCGTTCTATTGCGATATATGAAGATAGTTAAATAATATGGAAAACAGTTCGTTTAACATTCAAAGATTTAACATAAATACAAAACTAATTTACTTGGTAAATCAAGGTGTACCTTAACGAGCGCGAAGGCATGTTCCGAGAGCTAGTGTGACGTCATTACAGCCAATAGTTACCGACATCTGAGTGAGACCATTGCGGAGTCACAATTACAGTATGACACGACATGGAAAGAGATAATATCCCGGTTGTTGATAATGTTCTAGAAATACAGCCGTTTCAGTTTAAACCACTTCGACGGCGGAAATGACGGAATCGATAATGATGATTTCAGTGGCTCAAGTGTTGAATCGGATGCCCATTCCGATTATGTTTTGAGAAATGAGCATTGATTTTCACATTTATTTAAATTGTGAGCGTATATATCAGAGTTTTTTGGTAATAATTACTGAGCACATGACAAAACAAGGCAACTATAAACCCTCGAATATTCAGAATAGTTAATATCACTGCATTGACTTTTACTCTTAGGATAGATATATCTGCGTGTATAGAGTTCATGGGTTTACTAAAAATACTATGGCTCTCCCACAATCATGAATAATTTCGAAAATGTAACCAATTTTCGAGAGGGCGGGACTTCCGTGGAATTCGTTTACAGTATTCGGGCAAACACTTCAGCATACAGCTCAAATGTTAATAATTTATGAGTATTTACAAATGTGGTTATTAATAATCCTGGTGGTATTTCAAAATTCTAACAAATATAGCTACCTAAAGGTATGGACATTTGGATTGCTCGAGGCTAACTACGTTTCTTGAAATGCGTCTCCTCACCTGCAACCATCGTCGCTTTCGCAATGCAGACCTCACATTGACGGCTGCAAGTAGAAATTCTAGCATTTTCAGCGGAATTTCTAGAATATCTTCCTCAAATTATTTGAGGTTTGCGCTTCATATCCATTTCGCCAAAAAGTCAAGTCCTATTTTGTAGTCCTTCTTAGAAAATTGCTGTTTCTAATTTGCTGGGATTCACAAAGCCTGTATGACGACAGTAGGTCCAAGCAGCCTATGACTTTTTCTGGTTTGACTTCTGTTAAAATTGATGTAAAATGTATTCCTGGTTGTTTACATACATGTAGTTTGATGTACATCTGATAGCTGCACAATATGTCTTGGTGGATGAAACCACTTCAAAACTCAATGTTTGTGGCCAGTGCCCACTCGATTGTGGATCTCACACATTGAAACATCATCAACTGGATGGTGTGACTGTGTGAAAAGGGCGAGCCACGCATACGAGGCAAAAGATGATTTGCAGTAGTATGTTTGGAGCAAAGGGTCACTTTTGGACACTGTTTACATACTTACCACACTATATAGTAAAAAATTACGATTTCTTAGCTTAGTTCCTTAGTTCCAAACCTAGGTATAGTCTTTATACTGATTTCTTTATTTTAGCTCATGATAAATTCAAAAGAGAAAGATGCAAAGTTCGGGATTTTCAGAGTGTCATAATCTGTTACCATATGAAATCAACTTAGCCCAACCCTTTAATCATCTTAAACGTTATCATTCATAGAATAGCGACATTAACCTTCTGTCTATATTTGCTGTCACGTACTATAATCTGGCGTTTATGTTCTGATTATGTTGAAATCAATACTACTACTAATAAATTATTTGATTATACTCATACCGTAGATAAGGTATTCCTCATACGTATATATGCATGTTAGTTTGAATCACATAAACGTGGGGCATAAAAAATTTTTGAGTAGAAGAATGACTACACCGAAAAGGTCGCTATACTACATAAGGGAGTGATGTTCCGTAAAACAAAATTTGGACAATGATTTCCGGGATTTGTTTTGGCTAGGTTTTGTCTCTCTTATTTAATTTGGAAAATGAAGCGTGAGTGAGCAAGTAAATAAACGTTGTTCTGAATAGTAATTCTGTTATGTCAGCACGTGTGTTATCGTCAGTTTGATGACAGGGCAAGCCTACACTGATGTATTATATTGGTGAATACCATAGGAATGGTCAAATATATATATTTAAATCAAGCATTCACAGATGTAATCCAAAATTAACACAGCGTTTACAGTTTCAACAAAATCAGTAAAGGCGCCACCGTATCACTGCAATGTCTGGTACCTGACTTTATTACCCACGTGGTCAACGTATGGGTAGTTGCATACTAATCTCGTACGTCACTCGAGTGTCGTATCGCGTTGACCTGTGTCGTAACGACTTGACCTGAGATTCTAACGATTTGATTGGATAACCGATGACCTCTCAGTTAGGTCACGTTGTGACGGACCTATTTTTTTCATTCATAACAAACACGTGAAATCATTCATTCTATATGCAGCTTATATGCATTGTGGGAATGTAAACATGCGAACGTTGCCGTATCGCTGTTTAATTGTGAGTCGAGCTGAGACATTATATGCATCGAAAAACATAAACGCAAAGGTTCAACCAGTGATGTTAGTTGAGTGAAGCTACTGCAAACTAAGAAACGGGGTGCTACGGAGTAGTTTAATGTAGGAGGCTGTACGAGGCGATGACAACTGACGTGCATCTTGACGTCGGTTACCAAGGGGGCAGACGAGCAAGGCGTAGTGACGTCATTACAGTGTGACGTCATGCAAAAGTGTACAACAGAACAACATTCTTCCGCAACCTCTTTATGAAACCGGTTTCGGTTTGAAACCATAAAAATAACAAAAATGCGCTATTTTGTCAATTTAATGCATGTAAGACGTGGGTATAAATATCGATACCACACTCGCATCTTCATAACATACGAATTATGAACCAGATCTTCCTATGGTTCTTGACTCGCTTTCACTCCGCCAGATACCATAGGAAGGACACTCGTTTCGTATAGTTCGTATATAATGAGACCTCGTGTAGTATTCTCTATTGATTGTCTTGTTTGACTTGTTTGCTTCTGTCTGCAGCGACAATGAGATCAGCAATGACCTGTGCGCAAAGGGGTGACGTAACAGTAGAACTTCAGTGTTCTGTCAATGAAAGGATACATGTAAAGGAAGAGTGGTATGGGGACGGAGCAACAAACCCATGTCGATTTCAAAGTAACGGATCGTGCAGAGATGTCCTTCAGACCTCCAGATATGGCTTGGCCGTAAACTGCAATGGAGAACAGACGTGTAACGAAACGGTGTCTTCAGTTACCTGTAACCTTGCTGCACCTGCTGCTGCTGCCGAAGTACACTATAAGTGCATCAATGGTAAGACTTAAACCGTTTTGTTGTCGCATCTCATCTAAAAAAGCAACAAACCCAAAACATCCCCCCCTAAACACATCGCCCCAAACCACCACCCCCAAATCCAAGAAATATTTGTGTCAACAAGTCGATAAGGCCGTAAAATCAAGTCATGGGATGCCAGTAAAGTCTATCGTATACTTGCAGACAGTATGGACATCTGCGGCTTTGACACCATCAACGCAGCAACAAACAAGTCTGTGTACCTCCACTCCCCGGGCTACCCGTACAGTCTTGGGTTGAATAAAAGCTGCGTGGTGAGGATCACTGGGAAGGTTATACAAGTGACACTGGTTGAGCAGAGATTGAATGGGGGAAACTTGATCATTTCAGGCAAAGACTACAAAAAATGGTCAAATGTGAACATAAAACTATACAACAGAAAACTGACAGAACAATATTCAGAAGTTGCGATATCATACATTGACAGAGGCAATGATAGATCAAATGTGTGGATAAGTGTTGTTGGTAAGTATTATTCTATTTCACATTTAATCCTAAGCTGTATATCTGTTGTTTTATGTCGCATATCTTTTCAGGGATTGACATATTTCAATGACTTTTTATAAGCTGAGTAAGGGCGTGGTACTGACATTAGTAAATTAACCTTGTATGCTCAGCACTTTAGTAATTTTTAAAAGCAGGACAACACACTCGTATTGATTTAACATATGCATTAGTGGTTTGAGACTGGGACAATCAGGGCAATTATAAAAAAAGTTTCATCCTAGGTTCAAGTCCAATGTCTGTAACGTTCAACGGAGGGATGATTACGACATCGGCGGCTTCAACCTTATTAGTTCCTATGTCTGAAGGATCTTCGCTTCTACATGACGTAAGCAGTCAAAAGATGTCGGTAACACAATCAGTAATGCCAAGGAGCACCATCTCTCCTGACACGCAAACATTGTCAACAAAGGCTCTCTTTACTATCATGGGTATGTATGTTTATCAAAATTCATTTATTAACACTTATTTATTTATTTAATGAGAGAGAGAGAGAGAGAGAGAGAGAGAGAGAGAGAGAGAGAGAGAGAGAGAGAGAGAGAGAGAGAGAGAGAGAGAGAGAGAGAGAGAGAGAGAGAGAGACAGAGAGAGACAGACAGACAGACAGACAGACAGAGAGCTCACGCACGCCACAAGTCAAACACACTCACCACAAAACACACACACATTGCTTATAGGGGTGTATTTTCACAACCAACATGGTCCAGGTTATGTAACGTCTTATTTTGCGTGACAGTAACTACATTAGTTTAGTTACATACACAGGTACAGATACAGATACAGCCTCAGTCACAGACACAGACGCGGTAGAGATGACATCGAAGACAACAGTTACTACAATGACAATTGCTCCCACGACCACTTCTGTTGCAGGTAAATATAGCATGATGGTTTTTACGTGTTTATCACAGTAACGTTTGCAAACTTTTCAGCGATAAAGAAAAGTTTGATACATCAGCGTGTTCTCCATGATTGACACATGCTGCTCTTAGTTTAAGAAACTTAACGGAAAATGGTACAGACACTGATTTCCTGATCTATTGTAGCAACGTCTTGCCCCTTTTCATTATCACAGAAAACAGGACAGTTGGAATGACATCGAACGAAACAACTTATATTTCACTAGAGATGCTTCTGAAGAAGGTTTACTCCAATCTGAATCGTACATGTACTAGTAATATAGTGCTTGTAGAATGTGTACATTGAGTACAAACCTGCTATTGCAATATGTACCTTTCTAACTTTTGTGGGAATCTATGTACTTGCTCTAAAACGAAAATTATTTTCCACCAAAAGTATTTATGTTCACGTACCAGCAACGTCTAACTAAAGATATAGGATACGTGTCCCAATAACAAGTGTGATCAAAATTTGAACATTCAACTAGACAGGCAAGATGATATTTCTCTGATTCGACGGATAGGAAAAAAATATATTAAGTAAATTTGCCGTTGTATTATGTGTACAACACAAACAGCACCGAAATAAACAACCGTACATAATAAAGTTATCTGATAAACTTGATAAAAAATAGAAACAAAGACGCATATGGTGATTTTTTTTACAGAAACTATTTGCCAGTGATTTTACTGAAAATTCATTGCGATTCTGGTCTTGCATTTGCCGCAATTCATTAAGAATAATCAAGACCTAAAAAATTACCCGAATCAGAATTTCTTCAAAACGTCAGGGGACACGTCACCAATAGCGAGTGTGACCACCCTGGGCATCAATACAACAGGAATCCTGTTTCATAAATCCAGGAGAGCCTGTTCAAATTCCTGCCGGTCTCAGATGACGATGAAGATGATCGGGGTTGGAGTTCATGTCTGGAGTACGTGCTGGCCAAGGCGATACGTTGACGCTAACGTTATGCAGGTATTCTCGAACAATTCTGGCGGTGGGACGCCTTGCGCTGTGATACAAAATGACTCGTCTTGGCTGTTGTAGAATAAAGGGCACCATGAAAGGCCTTAACACTTCACCTCTGTATCACTGTGCATTCAGATTTCCTCGGATGATAACCGGTCTTGTTGGCCACAAATGCCCTCCGATGTCATGACGCTTTCTCCATCGAATGGATGAACTTCCAACGCAGTTCATCGCCAGTTGCTCTCTTCTAGATCTAATTTCATCTGCAAAGAACATTCTTTGGCCTTTGTCGTGTTCATGCAGGCTGACGTTGTGAAGCCCCCATATTGGCGATACCGACCGCCTTCTCTCGTTGCGCAAATCTTGGCATGTTCGTTGTGGGTTTTCATGACTGCATGTTTGCGCTTTCCAACGCTGGTATTTATGTCATAGTCATTTGGACGTGCATTTGGACCAATGTCCCACAATTACGTTTTCCGCGTTTTGAAAACGTGTGATTCATACGAGGGTTTCAGACAGCTGCGTTGTTATCGGAACTTTGTTGCGTTTTGGCGAACGCTTTCCCGCTTTAGTTCTAACTTGTACCAGCTTTGCTTTTGTATGCAACACTTTAAAACTGATAACTATCCTTTGTTCGGTAGATCATATCCTATTCGTACCACAATCTTATGTTCTTCAGCGATCGCGAACAATCACATCAACGATGACAAACAAACATCATAACATTGTACTGAAATATTTTCAATGTAAGTGTGTACACATATGCCATCTACTCTTAACAAAAGAAACTTGACGTACTGTTTTGGAGTGTATTTACTGAGTGCATATAACGGGTGATCGAGAAGACCATGGTGACAGCTGAACTTTGTTTTGCTGGAGGAAGTCCTGGTAGACGTGTGCAACGTCCGGTCGAGCATTATCATGCCTGAAAGATCCACCGTTGACGTTGATGAAGGGAAAACCTCGTTGCTATAGCGAACCCTATTCAATGCTTTTGCTACCTGCACAAGAGCTGTCCGGCCATTATGATGCATACTTCCCCATACCATGACACTTCCACCACCAAATGCATCGCCTGCTGTGCACAGTTATCGGCGAAACGTTCGTTCCGACGTCTGTATACATGTGAAAGTCCATCAGCACGTCTGAGAAGAAACCGAGACTCACCTGAGAACAAAATTGTCCTCCATCTTGTCCACGGCCATCTCACCGTTGTGTGCACCATATTAGACGTTCTGCCGGTGACGTTGTGTCAACACGTTACGTCGAACTGGTCTGCTCACTAAAAGTCCGGATTGGGATAGCCGATTGCGCACTGACTTGTCGAAGATTCGGCGCAGTCCAGGGATTTGGGTTGTATTGCTGTATGCTGCGGCCGTGGTGCGTGAACGAAGATGTTTCAACCGGATGAAGCAATTCTGGGCGGCGGTGGTAACTCTATGTCGACCTGACCTGGGTCTGTCAATAACACACCGAGTGTCCTTGTATCAGGTCCATAGGTTTGAGATGGTCTGTCTGGACACGCCGAAGTGCCTTGCCACCATAAGCTGCGATGTCCTTCTTTGTAAACGTTGTGTCGTTGAGCTTCAGTCAGTCTTGGCATTCTTTTGTCGTCTATAGTGGCTTACAGCAATGCATGTGAAGTACCGTTGATGTGGGTTTTCAAAGCCTACAGTCATAGGCTTCAATTCGGGGCGATACATAATTTCATGATGCACGTGCATTTCATGTAGGGTGCGTTTTAGCGATTCACTACAAACGTGAGTGTAACATTACGTTTCTGTTCAACGATTCTTGTTGCACACATTTCATCGTGTTTCTCCACATGTTGAGATTCAGCATGGATTGGTTTGTGTCAAATATTTTTCCAAAATTCAACTTGTTCCTATGCCAAGTTTCTTTTTTTTCAAAGAGTATATTTCATAGAAAACTGACATGCAATACATGGTCACAATATAACATTGCATTGACTTGCATGGCGCACAAACGCTAACGTTCACTTTTTTGGCGAAACACTTCCTGTTTATGATTTCTTATATGTATTCCTCCAACAATTTATAACAAATGAAAGCATAGCATTTTGCTCATGTGCATTAATTATACGTCATCTATGCACTTGTCTACTGCGTTTTAGGAACAATCTGATGATATGCATATTTAAAAAAAAATAGAAAATTAATACACTATCCACAGCTTTCTTCTTTAACCAAAACTGTGAAACAACCATTAAAGGGTAATATAATTTTTTTGCTCTGCCACTTTTATAAGTAAATGCACGTGTGGTTCTCGTTAGTCAACGCCGTTATCATAAAGAAACTTTCTTTTCATTCCCAAATATATATTATTTACTTAGCACTTTAATTGTAATGGATTCCCCGAGTAGTTGTGTGAACTAATGAGTTTTATGGTTGAATACGTGGTAGCAAAACATTCTGAACAAGTACAATCTTTTCTGTGCTTCCACATATACGTTTGGAGGTACAGCAACACAGGGAAGGAAAGGAAATAGGGTAATTGAGTGGGTTATGGCCATAACATTCGTCGATGAGATAATCAGCGCCAACATCCTATGACAACAAGTCGAATACACGATTCTACCAATTCGTGCATGGTCCTTAATTTTGATCAATGGTGTTACGACATGCTCCTATTTCATGTTAAAAAAACTGACGTGTCTTACGTTGGGTGCGATGTTAAGCAGTGAGCTGAAACATCCAAGCTGACGTCCTGACGACTGCACGTATTTTCTAAACGTAATGGAACACGCTTGTTTCAGGCAACAGTGGGGATGTTGTGATAGCCCTGTCTGTGGTGTGTGGTATTCTGGTGCTGATCATTGTAGTCTTCGTCGTATATGTGTAAGTACTTCATATTGTCTTTATGCAGATAAAGTGTCACTATGATATCTTGCTGTACAGCCTGCTTTTAAACTTAGGTTAAATATTTGTAAAATGTTTATCGCTGCAGCATGATGGTGAAGCACTCCAGGAATTCATCGAGTACTGGAACATCTGTTCACTATGCTGTTCGAAGCAGCCCTAGGAATGGGCCTCAGATAGACGATGGACTTTCACACCCCAGTGCCAACATCAACACGAATTCTTCCCTCAGCCGGCATGAAAACGCAAATGTCTACGCTGGAATACAACGTAATACAAGCGACGCTGGTGACGAACATAATTACGGTCACATTACGAGCAGTGAAGGACCTTGCTATGCTAACTCTGTTAGTGGAGATGATCCATATGTTAACACCTAGAGACAACACAGACGCTAGTGTACTCAGCAGTAGCTTCATTCGTGTATACCTGTATGTACCTGCATATTGGAAACCAATCACTGTTCTTTATAATAGCGAATATGTGTCGTGTATAACATTTAAACTTTGTTTGTACATTGCACGTCTAAAAATGTTCCATATTCAATATCACAGTATTCGCATCTCCACTAGTCCTTACTTGTCCTTTAACAAAGTTTGTACAGTTTCGTTTATCACCTGATCAGTCAGCATGCTTGTTAAATGCAAATTGGTTTAGTATATCGGCTTTGTTATGAATTATTCATCTAAGTTGCAAACCCATGTGGTTATTCGTTTTACAATCCTTTGAAAATAAAGTATTCATATTCCAGTGACTTATCCTTTTCCAACATCCATACTTTTAGTTACTAATTCAACTAAAAATCCGTTTTAAAAACAGATGGTTGCGCATGGTGCTAACTTCAAAAATGTCTTTTTAAATATACTTTTCATACGTATGAGGAAAGTACATAATCAGACTTTGATAAGACAGTGAAAGACTTTATTAAATCTCATACATGTGACACCTGTTCAGACTTTCCTGTAACTGAAGAGCTTCTTTCAGGGGAAATTACGATTGCAGAAATAGATGATGTTATAAATTTCCTAAAGAGCGGAAAAGCTCCAGGAGAAGATGGAATACCCCCGGAGTTCCTGAAGTGTTCTAGTGACGTGCTCATATATTATCTTCATGTTTTATTTAATAAAATATTTGAATCTGGAAACTTTCCTACAGCTTAAAATAAAGGTAGGATTGTTCCACTCCATAAGTCAGGAGATAAGGCAGACCCTAATAATTACCGGGGGATTTCTATATTGAACGTTATGGGGAAAATATCTACAAAAGTCATGATAAAAAGGGTTTTTCAGGGCTTGGATAGAACTGAACGACTTAATATCCGAAGCCCAAGCTGGCTTTTGGTCTAGTTACTCTACCACTGACAATATATTACAAACATTGATTTCTAAATATTTGTGTAAACCACGTGGTAGGATTTTACTGTGCATTTATTGACTTTAAGAAGGCCTTTAACGATGTAGACAGAAAAAACAAGTTATTATTTAAATTAGCACTAAAGGGTTGTCATGGGAAAATGTTTAATATACTTAAGAATATGTATTCATCAGTTAAATCATGTGTGAGACCAAACTAAAAAAGAACGAGTAACTTTACCACATCAGCAGGTATTCGACAAGGATGTGTTCTTAGTCCCATACTGTTCACCTTTTTCATAAGCTGAAACTGAAATGTATTATGATGATCATGCTACTTGTTACACAAAAATATTTTGATATATGATATAATGCTACTACAATGTTCTCTTATACTGTTTCTGGGTTGCAAAAGCAATTAAATGTGCTCCAATCTTTCTTTGAAAGATGGGGATTTCAAGTCAATTTAGATAATACCAATGTTATTGTATTCACGTGAAAGCTGGGCTCTAAACAACATAAATCTAAAACTAAAACCATATTATAAGTATATAGGTATTCTTGGGCAAATTAAATTGGGCAAAAACATGCCAAACGCTGGCAGCTCAAGCTTCACGTGCAATGATGCCTCTATTCACATCATTTAAAAAAAATAGTTGCATATCCTTTCTAGCGTCTTGTGAAATATTTGATAGCAGTTTTACCAATTTTAATTTACGTTTTACCAATTTTAATTTACTGTATGGGTCTGAAATATGGGAGACAAGACACTTTGAAGTTATAGAAAAAGTTCACACACAGTATCTAAAACGTTTCTTACAGGTTGGCAAATCCGCATCCAATAAGGCTATACTTGGCGAAACAGGGCGCCACACGATGTTTGTTTCAACACAGATAAGGGTTATATATACTGGATAAAAATACTTCATATGAATTGTTCTAGATATCCATACCAATGCTATATAATGTTAAAACAAATAGATGATGCTGGATAGCAAAACTGGGTGTCAAATCTAAGAAATTTGCTATTTTACACAGGTTTTACCCATGTTTGGTTATCACAAAGTGTGGGTGATTCTATATTGTTTACAACTATATTCAAACAACGGTTGAAAGATATCGATTGCCAAAATTGGCATAGTTTTATATCATCTTCGCACTACTTAAGTAATCATAGTAGCATTGAGACTTTGTTGCAGCCTGAAAAATATATTATGTCTCTCGGATAGGTCTTTGCTAAGAGTCTTTTGCAAATTTAGAATATCTCTTCATGATTTTAATATTAATCACCTGCGTAGGAACAAAAATGAACATGTATATAAATCACTCTGTTTCCAATGTGATCTTAACGTTATGGAGGACGAGTTCCACGTCCTGTTTATTTGTTAAAAGTATCATGACCTGAGATTAAAATATCTCCCAAGCCTATCTTATGTTAAGTACTATTCAGTGAAACTCTTGTGTAATGTATTAAGTACAAATAATGAGGATAATTTACGAGCACTCGCCATTTTTCATAAAAATGTATTTCTATTGAGATGTAAATGGAAATAGAAAAATATTGCTGTATTGTTTATCACGTGACATGTGTTCTATCAAATACAATTGTATTCTAGGCTATGAGGCCGAAATACTGCATTTATATATATATATATATGTTGAACCGACCGCCAAGTCCACCATTATAGAGGGGAGCATCATATCAATCCGTTATCAGGTGATAAAATGGGCATTATTTCATTGTGTATGTCCAAACATGCTGCTCCAGCATGATAACACACGGCTCTACGTCATTCATGTTTTTGTCTACATCATTGCTCCGAAATATACTACAAACAAAAAGTATTGGAACACCCTAAAATTTAATGGTCATATATAAACTTAAACGTGGTGAGGTCATTTATACTCTAAGGTAAATGCAACTTTTTGTGTGCTTAATAGGAACTTTAAAAGACATGTTTGAACATTCAGTAAATGCATGTCGTTTAAAGTGCCCATTAAGCCCACAAAAAGTTGCATTTATCTTAGAGTAAAAATGACCTTACCACGTTTAAATTTATAAATGGCTTTCAAAATTCAGGGTATTCCCATACCTTTTGTGTGTAGTAAATGTCAGTGAGCTTACCTGACAGCAGATATTGACAGACAGACAGACAGACATTTTATTCCAGTACCAAGGCCATTGGCCCAAAATGAGTCATTTATCAACTTTCACAATCCGCGCATAAATACACAGTAGAGTCCATGAATTATTCCATGCAAGAGTTGTCATGCATATGGGTTTACACATCACACACCCATTTCACATGTAAAGGCAATTCTAAGTGTATACACCTTAATTAGGACCTGACCAATATCACAGACAACAATACATTTATCTGATGCCATAATATTTATAAAAGACTGATGTGATATTAATGTTACATGTTTAAAAATGTATGTGCTTCTTATGGTTGCATATTGTTTACACACAAATAATACATGGTATTTGTCGTATGGAACTCTTGGGTGAACGAGGACGAGTGTGTCATTAAACATTGGCAGTTGAGAATGGTATACCCAGGGTATTCATTAAGACGAATTATACTCACATAAAAAGTATAACTAGAAAGAGAGGGAAGGCAATAGGAAAGGCTTCGATGTACTGTGAAGTCAACATAACTGAACATCTAACCGTTCAAACTAAGCGTTCTTTCTAACTGGACAGGGATTTTTTCGGTCCCGCAAAACTCCTTCATGATTGTTCATTATTCAACTGAAAACTGGCCATTTTCTCTAACAGGACGGTTTTTGACAAACATTGTAAGGTCATGAATGACATAGGCAGGTCTGACCGTATTCACAAAATATGCCTCAATGAAAGTAGTAACTCTGATCGGCAGTTTAGTGCTCATGATTTTGTAATCTAGGGGCTTGGCGGGTACTAGTATGTGAAAAAACCCAAAATGTTGTATTACAAAACTGATTACTTTTGATGCTTGATGCATTATGTTTGCGATAACCAAGGCTTGGGTAATTTGGAAAATCAGTCACCGATTTAAGAGACAACCATTTGATTTGCGAATCACATGATTTTTATGTTGCATTATATTAAGGCGCATGTATCATCACATACTCTGTCAATTTAGATGAAGTAGCTGCTACAATCAATACCAACCGTGGAAAATCTGAAACATATGACTTTACATTGTTATTATGTTGAAAAGTCATACAATGGCATTGCGTTATATTCAGCGGTGATTTTGTGTGATCAGAAACAAATATTTGTTAAGGCTGACGCTGACGGAAGAAGTGAAACACACTGTCATATATGATATTTTATGCATTTTGTCTTAAATTATGCATCCGCCCACCCATTATATCTATCCGTTACACACATGCATGCATGCATTCACGCACGCACACATACATACATTATGTACGTATGAAATTAATGCTCTCTACAGTAGCAATTGTGAAAGTTTGTATGGACTATAAATCGTTTACCCGCATTCTGTGTGGCAGTTGTCGTCTGATCGCCAGAGAACATTAAGGTGACTGGTTCTAAAAAAAACAAACCCGAAACTGATCAAAACAGTACCGTAACATCCACCTGATTACGGCCATGTTATATAGTTGTTGGATATAATATAAAATACATGCGTATTTCACAAATTTGTTTATATTTGTTTGAATTCATACATTTTGATGAAACATATGTTTCGACAAAAATGCAGGTACAGTAAGTGCATCTATAGACGTGCAATTCCTCCGAACGAGCAGCCATTGTGATTGTTTATAAGGGCTGGAAATCGTTTACCCGCATTCTGTGTGGCACTTGTCGTCTAATCGCCTGGTAACGTTGTGGTGACTGGTTTTAACAAAAAATGAAATTAAACAAAACATACCGTAACATTCTACCGGAGTTATAGTCATGTCATAAACAGTGAGAACCCGGATATCCGGACATATTCGTTTTTGCGTAAATCGTCCGGATAACTGCATATCGGATGTCTAGCTTTTTCGTTTTCGTACACCACAAGGAAAATCCCCAAATCGTCAAATGTTCTGTAGTTGTTGTTATACAGTGGGATAAAAATGCATATGACATATATTTAAATAAGTTTTACAAATTTGTATATATTTTGATTAAATACTTGCGATTTGATTATTTATAAAAGCTGGTGGAAGAAGTACATATGTTGTCGTGCAATTCCTCCGTATGAAGAACTGAGACAGTGATTAGCTCGAGAAAGTCTCTCTACATGTACAAGACATTTCAACACACGTTGGTTGAATGGATGGATAGTTACCTTCAGTGGCAGTTGTTGTCATGGTCCTTTGCTGAGTTGACGGTATCGTCCCTTTAGACGTGAAGTAGAGAAAGACACATACACTTTATTAGCAATCATGTCACAATCGATCTCATGTTTCCGCCTTATATGTTTTCGGCTTTTGACAATCTTCTACATTTAAACCATTTAACTGACTAGCTCTTTAATGACAAATTGATATTTGAAATCCTCAGCGTTCTACACCACCAATCAATTATCATTACTACATCCATGTATGTACGATGCCGTCTTGCTTCATATACCAGTGTTGGTTGCTAACTGTGACTAAATGGCACTTAATCAGTGATGAATTCATTATTCATTTTATGAATCTCATATTCAAAGCTGAAGATACAATCCAGTTTCCCTCCTAACATTGCGATATGGACATGAAATCGGTCGAACAGATTGGAATATATCATATTTCATGTGACTACAACATATATCATACATGCTGTGCACGCTGACTATCTACAAAACAGAAATTACAAGGAAAGTCCAATGAACATCCGGAACCATCTGCGCACATCATCTCTGGACTTCTAACCTCTACTCTACTCTACTCTACGAACTTCCTCAGTGTCTAATTGATCCTAATTGTTCCAGTAGCAAATAAGTTACCATCTTATTGACGAGACCTAATTGATCTCAATCGGTCACACCAGTTGTCCCAATTCTGGCAGTGAGATACAACACTTGCATGGTCAAGTGCACAACAGACTGCCAAATATGGGAAATCACCGTCTGTATATGCCGTCTGTAATATCATGTTTCCCTAAATACATTTAAAATCTTTCACACCAAGAAATAAATGCCGCACAATCTACTTAGATCGTACCATGCTGATATCTACGTGTAGTTGGGTCCTTCGGGAATACTTATAATAGGGTTTTATTCACCTGTGCCTTTGTTGATTGCGTGTCTTGGAACCATGTGGGTAACTGTTCATAATATCAGATAATAAGTTGGCGTGCTTGAAGTAACAAAACCCCATCGTTGTACACCTTAATATTGAAGAGTGCGACGTAAAGCAACAAATAATGAAACAAGCGTTACCAGAACACTAGGAAAAATACTAGAACACTAGTTCAAAATAGCTTTGGTCTTCTCTGGCTCATGTTCTGGATCTTTTGGCACGTTCAGCATTTGATTAAAAGAATGTGAATTAAGTATTATACAACAGATTCGAAAGCCGCCATTGTTGGGGGAATACTTAGTGCAATACAGATCAGCTTATCTGAGGAAATGTGTAAACATTGCATGCAGAACAACACGCAAGTCCAAAATGTAAAACTGTAAGTGCCCATTTCTTTCAGGAACGTGGAGAACTAAAAACTGCTCATATTTACACTCAGTCTGTCTTTCTTTGCTCAGGTCGAGAAGCATAATAACACATAACCACTGTCTAACTATCCCGTAAACGATAACTGATCTATATAATAACGTCATTGAATCATAAATATTAATTACTGACAAAAGTTTTCGATTTCCGTTCTGCTTGATCAACCCATATAAGATATAATATGCATCAAATGAAACATTTGTTGATATTACCGCAATTTCATTGAAACACATGTACCTAGAGTGACAGAGTATGTTAGTTTGGTTTAACGCCGTTTTTAACAGTATTCCAGTTATATCACGGCGTATCAGCTGGATGTGGGGAAATCCCGAAGTGAAGCTTGTCTGAGAAGTTTACCATTTTGGGGGAACCAACATAATCAGGACAAACCGGAAATGTAAACCCATGATCCTTGGTGTCTGGTGCACACAGAGGACAGAATGGATCATGCATGCCCTCTGTGACCTATAATACAGTCATTGAGGTTGAGGGTTGCTATTTTCCTTTTTGTATAAGTATATCGCGATGCTAAATTTCTTTAAGGATAGATGTGAAGATGAAATCAGAAGAAAAATATGTGCCATGCATTTTAGGAATTTAAAATCGAAATGAATACCTTTCAAATTTGTTTGGTTGAACCATTATGCCTTCAATACAGAGTGGTAGGTACTGTATGTTCTTCATGAAAGTTACCATTTGAGGGAAGTCACCGGTAGGCATTTAGAATTTGTAAAAACATGAAGCCATAAAATTCATACAATACTAAATATTTCCACAATTTCAGTGCCTCTTCTTGTCCTGCTCCGCCATCACAATACATGTTATAGTTTACACGTGTCGTACGTAGTAGCTCCAGACACATGCGTTGGGTGTCACTCCTGACTTTAAAATATTAAATGAAGGTCGATTTATGTCAATGGACCATTATTTCTGATAACCTTTTGATTCTGCTTATCACACAGTTATGATGTACTTATCATTCATAGTTTGTGTATGAACTAACGATGAGGCGTCAGCCGATTATCTACGTGATATTATCAATACTGGTACTGGCATTAGTCAGACAGAAGCTGTGGCCAGTATGTTCAATAATTCACAGTTTGCGATTAGCAGAGTATGAAACAGACACCATCAAACCCAACATCTTGACGATTTTATACAATGAACGACTGTGTACATGTTGTACAGAAAGTGGAAGTTCTGTTTCCGAATTTCTATATTGCTTGTGTGAGTGTTACTCAGCTCTAAGAACTATGTGTCTCAAACAGGATATGAAGTTTAAACTATAACGTCCCTAATCAAACATATTTCATCTGAGGTATTTGATGTTCTATATAACCAGAAGACACACACACACACACACACACACACACACACACACACACACACACACACACACACACACACACACACACACACACACACACACACACACACACACACACACACACACACACACACACACACACATATATATAGTCATTGCGCTAAGAGAAACTTAATCGATTACAGACATGCGTAATTCATGTAACCAAACATTCCCTGTATTTTGCCTTTATACTGAAAAAACTTTCTGTCTGTCTATTTACCTAATGGAGAGGTAAATACCAAGACACACTTATGATTAAAATTACCCACTTCACTGTCGTAAGCGGATCACGCCCAGCCAATCCACCCACCCACCCATACGCACGCACACCCCACCCCACCGCTTCACAACCACGCACCCCACTATTGTCCAAATTCAAACGAAATACTAGTTGAATCAGGAAGCAAATCTAATTAATGGACTGTGACGCTGTGTGTTATGACAAGATACACCCGGCAACATGCTCTACACACTTAGTCACAACACACTGATTTCACTTCCCTGTTCATACCGGAGACCTCCGGGGACGTGTACCCATGCATTTACCTTTTTTTAGTTAAATTGTTTCAGGTGTTCTCGAGTACATAATGGATTCACAGGTACGGAAATACACGAAGATGACCTAGGAGAGTAATTATATGCAAGTAGGCTAGTCACGAACCAACGAAGGTTGTTGCTACATTTCCCATGAACTCAATTGTGGATGTGTGAATCTCAACGAGGCAACTACATATTGAATATGAATCCAACAGTTTAACTTCAGGGTTGAATAGAAACGATATGTTCTGTAAGCTTGACGTACAGAGAGGACGCATTTAACTGCTGTTGACTGAGATCTAGCAGCCATGCGTGTTGAAAGAGCGTTTGTAATCTATCATTTCTTCTTGCTGTATACGGTGAGTAATAGCACTGACAGACCTGATTTTCTATTTCAGCATGCTGTGTAATGTGATTTTTAAATGTCGCATTATGTACGTGTGATGTGTTGTGTGACTGACGCGCAAATGTCAAAATCTCTTCATGTCCCTGAATTTTAATGCGCACAAGCCGTTTTAAACATTACCTGTGCTATGATACCTACCTTGAGACACCATCTATAAGATAGTCCAAATCAGACTTAGACTCAGAAATGGCATTTTTGTATTGATACACACTGATAGTTTATCTCTTGGAAACTCCATTTCACATTTCCGCTGCATTAAAGCCATATGCATCGCGTACTTATCAGTATATGTACGCACAAGTTTTGTAAATGGAAGGATACTGTAAATGTACGCGTTTCATGTTTTAGATTCATACATTATGATTTTATATGTAATGTCTAATTTGAGCCATACAGAATATCATGTTTTAAAGATGAAACTACATCTATATTTCTCGTTTATTTCACAACAAATAGGGTTTTACCTTCAACTGGAACAATATATTCAAGTATATTTTGTCAAGTATGTTTGACTGAACGAGTTTCAATATATTCAAAGGTGTCAGGACTGGAAACAGATGTATAGAGGATTTGACAAAAGTCTTTACAGTACAGCTTCAGTGTTCTGCCGGTGAATGGATACATGTCGTGCACGAGGTGTATGGGGATGGAGACGCAGCAACATGTCGTCTGAAATCTGCTCAGTCGTGTAGTAAGCTCTTTGCCAGCAGCCAGTATGGCCTGATCGTCAGTTGTAATGGGAAGCAGTCATGTTATGAAGCAATGCAGGTACAGACCATCAACAACTGCAATATTACCGATGCTGCTGCTGAAGTAAATTACAACTGCATCAAAGGTGAGACATCAATATGGTATACCTGTATCAAAGGTGATCATTGGACAAACCTGTAGTAGATCTACGTATAAACACTGATTTATTTAATATCAGCCACAGAGTCCATTATAGACATATTATTGTAAATATTTACCACAAACGTCATAAACGAATGTGTAGATGTTGAATGCACAGCCAGATATCAACTGCAGTATTACCGATGCTGCTCAGTGCTGAAGTAAAGTACAACTGTATCAAAGGAAACTTTGGTCGTTGACGGGGCATTACCTGACTGTCAGTAAGACACAACTGAAGAATGACGGTATGTCTTCCCCCATCAAGTGCAATCTCTTAGCGAAAAACGTGTGTCGCCACTGGGCTTACGAATGTTATCTTCGGCGACATGAGCAAATCTTTATGAAAGTAACCAGAAATATTTATTTACTAACAATTTCCCCATTAAAGAAATATTTAACAGGGTGCTGTCAGGCTTGAATATTATTGGCCTCTATTGCTGTCAATCTCTGAAACAGATATAAGTGAATGCGTCAATTGTAGATGCTATATAATCTAGAAACGTACCATCTGTCTCTGTCAGCCGTATGTTAACAATAGTTCGACTGATTGAAACATTGATCAAATCCGATGTAGCCATTGTTTTATGGCTTACAGACTGAAATTCATAATTGTAAATTATTCGCAATTCGCTCGTCAGAGATTACGACATGGCTATTTTTAATCTTTTTGTTACAAAGTTCATTAATACACACTGACGGGCCGACAGGTGATACCTGTATATAAAGTCAAATCCTGATGAGTCGAATGCCGGTGTATAGTAACCATGCCTGTCGGTCCCGATCTTGTTTTCCAAATCTTGTTTTAAATAACTGGACCATTCTCTTGTTGTGCTTCGTGACATTACAAAACAACACGCTCAAGTAATGTCGTACTGTCTTCATCATATACATTATCATCCATGTTGTGTCATCGGATCCGTGAAGATCCAGGTTAGAATAAAATTCTTATTCATAAGTTGGAAACAAAGGCACTTGCAAACAAGCAAGATCATCAAATGTTTTGAAATACAGTCATGTCTTGAAGCCATAAGTGTACAGCGTACTAGTATTAACTACTTCAATGTGACCAAAGCTACTGCTGAAGTAGAGTACAACTGTATAAAAGGTAAGTCATCAGTTTAGTATTCCCATATCATGAGACAAAAGTTTAGTAGATGCATAAACATCGAATATTTTTAATGTCAGTCACAGCTTCAATAATACAAACACAAATACATACACGGTGATACCTTTGTTTTATTTGTTACGTTTCATGTTATTTTCTGCATGTTTGGTTTGTCAGGTTTTCGTTCAAAGACACGAAAATATAGAAACATCCACTCGATGAGGGCGCTGTTATCTCATAAAAAGGGCCCATCAGCATGGACAAGTGATTATGACAGTAAAATATAAATATGCTCGAGCTGGTCCTAGATGGAATACATACTTGCCTTGGAACACGCACATGCATTTCATAAGTCGAGGCGCCAAAGAACAAGGTGCACGTGTGAAAAACTCAAAGAACATATTTAACCTGGATCTTGCATGACCGACGGACTCGAGGTCGAATTAACCATTTCGGCGATTAGACATCAGGTCCTCGTGATCTAACGCATACTTAGTACTATCTCAAACTGACATTATCAACAAGGAACGCTTTAAATAATGCCAGTCAGTGATTCATTTATGCCTACATGTAGGCGTCAATATTTAAACCCAGTTGTCATTTTTATGCATTATGTTACATATTACGAATCATGGTACATTGCGTTTTCGATCAAGGTTTTGATTGTCACATTAAGTGGTTTAGTGCAGTGGCAAAGGGTGAAAATAGATACCTGTAGGACTAAAGCATGAAACTTTGCAAAGTGCTGGGAAATATCATGATAAAACATATTTTTGTGGTGGTGCCCGATGTTTTGGGCCCATTTTCCGAAAACTCCAAGATGGCGTCCCAGAGGGCCACCGGCAATCAAAGATTTCCAATTCTATCACTATATGACTTACCCCACTGGATTAAAGCATAAAACCTTGCACATTGCTAGGGAACATCGCAATAAAACATATTTTTGTTGTATGCCCGAATCTACGGGCCTATTTTCCGAAAAATCAAAGAAGGCCACCAAAAAAAGAAGTCCATCCAGAATGGTCGCCGACTATGACAAATCTTAAAACGTTGCTCGTGCTGTAAACCACTCGTTTTAACAGACTCCATGAGGTACACGAATGCATCGCCTTATCTATCTGCAATCTAATTGATGTTTCCTCTGAAATACATGACAGGTGGATCAAAATTTGAGTTTGCCTTAAGGAAGTCTGCTGATCTGTATAAATACTCAGTGTAGACTTTATTAGAAATGGGAAAATAAGGGATATATACAACGGCCATACAAAACATTATCAAGGACGCACGGAAATCATTCACGAATTTGACCCCTTAAAAATCCGCCTTTAAATTAATTTTCGCCAACCCATACTTGTTGAAAGAAGTGACTGACGGAGTCGGGTGATAAGGTTAGGTTGACAGAAGTAATCTATCCCATGTACCTAGACGATGCTCATGATGTCAATCACTGGATTGGTCCAAATCCTACAGACCGACGTTATAAAAATGTAATATCGCCGAATGATAGCTTAAACAGCAACTAAAAAAAATATAAAAAATGACATTTTATATTTGATTTTATAAGTTAAACCATGAAAATATTTCAAACACATGAGTACAGAAAGGTTATCTACAAGAAAGAATGATATGTATGTATATCAGTGCACTAATTATAGATAGAATCGTGTGTATCTACGTATTTCCTAATTAATTTCGGGCGGTGGGGTAGCCTAGTAGTTAAGGCGTTCGGTCGTCAGGCTGAACACTCAGGTTCGATTCCCCACATGAGCACAATGTGTGAAGCCCATTTCCGGTGTCCCCGCCGTGATATTGCTGGAATTTTGCTAAAAGAGGCGTAAAACTAAACTCACTCACTTCTGATAATGTCTAACGTTCAGCGTTATTTCACTGACGACGTATTACTATCGTAATGCAGTGACGTCAAGGGTTAATACATGTTGTGACACTTTTCCCCTTCCCCGTTGATGGTAGCATTGCGCCCCATGCATCTGCACACTACTGGAAGTACATACAAATAGGTACCCCTCTAAAAGTCAGGGAATAGGAACCGCCATGTCGTCGGTTTTGTTTACATCGGCATAAAGGTCAATTTATTTCATTAAAATGCTTTTTGTCAAACATTCGTTTGGGCAAAGATTAACAGATAACTCATTCCTGAACACATACATGTACAGTAAATACAACCTGGTACCCATCTAAAAGCCAATATGGAAAAGGAACCGCAATATCGCCGGTTTTGTTCACATCGGTATAAAGATATAGTTATTATCTATTTTTTACAAGATCTAAACACGAATGGTAAACATACTTGGGAATCAGATGTAAGATGGTGGTTATTTAACTCTGGATTTTCTCATGTATGCCTCCCAATGATGTGGGCAATGAATCTGTTTTATTGTTCAAATGAAAAGAATACTCACTGATATGTATCAACAAGAATGGCACAACTCTATATGGACTTCAAAATATCCATTTTTCTAATGTTAAGTCACAGCTTGTACCACAGCATGTGCCGCTTGATTTCTTCTGGCTCAAATGAGTTGCTGTATATCGGCTTGCTAACTGGCGTAACGTGAGCTAGGTGGTTTCAGAGACAATGTCCTCGAATAATAAAAAAAATCGTATTAGGTCGAATTTTACGTTGGTTGAACGAAGTTTCACCATAAGCTCAATGTGGCAGTTATCAGCTTACAAAAGAAAAAAATAAATATATATATATTTTTGCTATTATTCTAACATATGTACAGCGCCGATATCCAGCCCAGCTTCAAAAAGGCGCTTTGTTTTTCTCCTTCGATCACTGGAATTCAATCTCAACGGCACGTCGTATTATCAATCTCAGCTCCCTGGGGATCATACAGCTCTTGCAGCCACTAGGCGCACCGAGTTAATGTTGCTTTCCCGTCATTACGAGGTACCCATTCACAGCTGGGTGGACTGGGACACACAGTCACAGTACTTTGTCCAAGTTTACTGCACGTTGCTGTACCCGCAACTAGGTGTTTGCACGTATTCATGGGGACACCATCTGGTCATCTACCAACGGATTCGTGGGTTCTTTTGCGAGCACTGGGTTGTGTACTGTACACTAGGGGCTGTGACAACACTGAAAGAGTCTGCACACAAAAGTGACTCCAAGGTTTTTACACCCGGTCACAGGAGGGCTCGATCCCGTCACCTCAAGCTCGCTCGATTACTAGCGTGGCGCCTTACAAAGCTCGCCCACCACGCCCCCATATATGTTTAACGTCTTTGTTTACTTAGATTGTTCTACACTTGTACACTTTGAACAAAGTCTTTGAATTCGATGCTATATATGTTGATAAAAATGTCGTCCATCAGTTCACTATCCCGTGTGTAAGCAGACGTCGTGGCATCTGAGGAGTACTGATGTGGGGTGTCCAGAAAAAGGTAACACGTACTTGTTTTATCAAAATTGTTTGAGTAGGTGTGGCTGCTGTCATTTTGCATTTTACTCCAAATGGAATCAGTTTCGGATGATTAATACATTTGGTATCGGAAGGAACAACAGTAAACAGTAAACACAACTATTATTATACTTGTCCCATGTACCTGTGTTTCAGGTAGTATGAACATGTGTAGTCCAGTCACAACAACAGTAAACGGGTCGGTGTACCTCCATTCCCCCGGCTTCCCTGACAGTGTCGGTGTGACCAGCCGCTGTGTTGTTAGGATCACAGGGCAGACTATACTTGTAACACTGGTAGAGGAGCGGATGAGGGGGTCAGGGATGCTTAACATCTCAGGTGACGGGAGACAACTCTGGACAAACGAGAACGCGAACCAGTACAACAGGGTATTACCTGGACAAGCTGCCGAAATAGTTATAGTCTACGATAACCATGATCAGGATGGATCAAATGTATGGATACGTGTTGCAGGTAGCAATCATTAATACACTGATGCCAAAATCATATTTAGCGTACTGTATTCACAGTAATGCATTTTGCGCCCTATTCCTCCTTAACTGAATTACATATGGCCCTTCGTGGATCTATTTTCTGCTGAATTCCCACCACTTGCAGAAATCTTATCTATTAAAAGTAAACAAGTAACTCGGACCTGGAGACTGCTGTAACCATAAGTTGTTCATAAATTCAGGTCAAATGAATATTACGGTCACCGGAGAAATACTGGATGCATCAACCACACCTACATCAACACAGCAGCCGCCACGTTCACAGAGTACATCCGGTCCAAGTACTTCGGACACACCAACAACTGAAACAAAGCCACGTGCCCAATCTACAACTATTGGTGAGTGTACTCTGGCGTTTTATAGCCCTCATTATACGTCAAACGTTTTCAGCTGCTTACAGAGATATTTGCTCCCATACAAGCATTTATAGTGCTTTTGCCTGTGTGAGTGTGAACATCTCTGAAGGGCATGGTTCATTAACTTGTGTGGTCAACCGCTATTTGAGTGCCATGTTTTCACTGCGGATCGACATCAATGCAATTAAAGTACCTTAAATAATGCATCTACATCTTTTCATGCAAGGATGCACACTTATATTTAACACATTTAAAAAATGTCCGCGAAAAGATAATACATAAATGAAAAGAAACCAAGCTCCCATATACATGATTTATCTATCTTCCTTGGAACTGCATCTGATACAAAATTCACAAATTGCAGCGTCCTTTACGACCGTTACATCTACGAGTGGACAACCTACTCGTTCGACAGGGAATATAACAACACAGTGGACTTCAAAATCAACGATGGTATCAACAACAGTTTCAAGAACAGACACAAGTGAGTATACGCAATTACACGCATTTCTTCGCAGTATGTACACACTATATTCGTCTATTGCTTGTAACTACATAGAGACGTTATGTGGCAGTTTATGTAGTTTCATGTCGATATAGTGAGAACTACATCTGATCAAAAGGGTTTTAGTACAAACCACCACAACTGAATCACTGTTCTAGACATAATTGGCTCAACCATATCCATACAATAATAGATGGGTTGTAATACATTCAGTCTTTGCCTTATAGGCGTGAACACAATCAAGCACCCAGTCGTACACTTTGCAACCCAGCTAAGTACCTCTTGATCTCTTTATCAATAATCAGAAAAACAATCACTTTACTATGTGGAAAATATAATATTTTGTGTGGAAGTATAAGTCCAAAACATTCTCAACAAGAATCTTTTTGTGCATCCATATATACAGTTTGGGGTACACAGCTTGAAAAAAAACAGTATTATAATGCCAGAGAACGAAAGCTATAGAGTAGTTGAGTGGGTTATAGCACTAATGTTCTTTGCAGAGATAATCAAAGCCAACATCCGATGGCCACGAATCCAAGATTCTCCCAAATCATGATCGTTAATATTAAACAAGCCCAGTGAACTGAAACATACGCGAGCTGACGTCCTCGCGTATTTTCTGCACATATTTTCTGAACGTATTGCAATATACACGTTTCAGGCAACAGTGAGGATATTGTGACAGCCTTGGCTGTGGTGTGTGGTATTCTGGTGCTCATCATTGTAGTCCTCGTCATATACTTGTAAGTACTTCATATTGTCTTTAATGCACATATCAGACACAGTAACACTGTTATAAGGTTAAAATGCATCTTTTAAACAAGAAAAGTATCCACAAACCCATTATTCAGAATTGCGGTTATTTCGTGATAGAATTGATGCTATCACTTCTAGTTAATTAATCAAGGGATATAGAACATGATAACTGGAAGTACAATAATCCAAAATACCCTTAAAGTATTAGTTAACGGTGAACCAACGATGGGTAGTTTACAGTAATTCTCCGATTACGAGGTACAACATGAGACCATGGAATGATGTAACTTTAAACGAAACGGAAATATTGTATCGGGACATGTGACAAGGGCGGAGTAGGCTCGAACACCTTAAAAATTTACCGTCAGCGCTAGCTGTCAGCAGAACGTTCGGTTCGCGATCGTTGTAGTTCCACGTTTGTTAAAGAGCTTGCCCTGTCCTGTCCAGTCCCAGCCACCTTGTAATGAAGAGAGGGATTGAGTAAATATTTAATTATTGTATGAAATTGTTAGTGTGGACTCCCGGTCGTCCGACCCTCACTCCTTGACGGTAGCACCCCCAACGGACCAAGCGGGTGCAGAGCTTGAGCTTACATTTCCCCTAACAATGTGCAACAGCCATATTACTAGGTAAATGTTAATAGGGTTTACTGACGCCCAGTCGTCAGATGCGACAACACTATGGTATTTTGTTGTACTGTCTGCTGTTGAACATATCAGTTGTGTATATTGTCAAATATTTATCACTGCAGTATGGTGGTGAAGCCATTCAGAAAGAAGCATGACACTTCATCGAATACTGGAACGTCTGTTGAGCATGGTGAAACAAATGTCTACGATGGAATACAGCCTAATACAAGCGTGGCTGGTGACGAACATAACTACGACCGCATAACCAGCAGTGAAGGACCTTGCTATGCCAACTCTGTCAGTGGAAATGATCCATATGTTAACACCTAGACGTTAGTGCTACTCAGTCGCAGTTATATATGTAAATCATTATGTACCTGTATCGTCACTTTGAAATCAATCAAACGTTCTTTATAAAAGTGAATAAGTGCTTATATAGTATTATTTAAATCTAAACGTTCCTTTATACAATATTTCTATAAACGTTGAAAATATGTTTGATAGTCCACATTATGTTCGACAATATTCACTACCCAATTAGTCTTACTTGTCCTTTATTTAAATTATCGCCTGATCAGTCAGCATGCCTGATGAATGCAAACGTATGTGCTTATTTTGTTTTACAATTACTTTACAATAAATGTCATATTCCAGTGACGTATCCTTTTCTATCCATACTTTTAGTTACCAATTCAACTTAAGAAACTGTTTTAACAACAAACAGGCGCACACGGTGCTTATTTCCAACTAGTATTATGTCGAAAAGTCCGCTTCCTTTGACACGAAACAGTCTTGTTACTGCGGACGATGACGATATGACGAAATGTTCTATTATAATGCAGAAATTCTGTGGAACTAATAACTACAAGCATCACGTGAAATGGTTAATCCGTTCACAAGTTCGGTTATTTGTGTTTGTGTGTTAGTGTTTGTTTTCTGAAACGTATTTGGTCATGAACAGCGGTTTGAGCATATACATGTTTTTTAAAACTATATTGTCTAGATGTAGGCTTCGTAGCAATAGTGTAGCATGAACTAAGGCCATCTGGATTCTTCCTCGGGGCCTAACCAATCACAAACACGCTTAGACATAGGGTTCTCCAGGAATTACATATATTCATACACAGCCGGGAAACTTCATACCACACACGTGCGTCAATAGTGTTTCGATTCGTAACTCCGAAACTATTGGTGACATAAATGTTGCTACATGCATATTAGCTGCTGTAATCAGATATTGTGCATGAAATAAACCACCAGGTGTGTACAATAAACAATATGTAAATGCACAGCCAACACTTTCCTGGTCTGATAACGCGAATGGTGCTTTGTCCGTACTTGTACCCTGATTTTCCTGTAAATATCACAACAAGGTAAATGGCGATTTTATCACTCAATATGAGCCAGTCAGTATCAACATTTTCCCCAATTGTTTTGTATACAGTCATGAAAGTAAAACAAATATTAAACACAAACATCACAAACATGTAGGCAGTTCAACTAAACAGAGCAATAGGGTCTACTCCAACTAAATTCCAGGTTGTCAGTAATGTTGGCATTTGCAACTGTTTGGAACTGTTTTAAACACGGCAGTCTCCCCACCAGATATCTCAATGCTCCACTGAGAATATTCGGATCTATCCGTTCAACCACAACAACTTTATTATTATTTTTTTATTATTGGATATTTATATAGAGCACATATCCACGCACCAGTGCATGCTCAAGGCGCTGGTATTTTGTTTCCTCGATCATTGGATGTCAATCTCAGCGGCACATCATATTATCAATCTCAACTCCCTGGGGATCATACAACTCTTGCTGCTACAAGGCACACCGAGTTATTGCGGCTTTCCCATCCTCACGGGGTACCCATTCACAGCTGGGTGGACTGGGACACACAGTCACAGTACTTTGTCCAAGTTTACTGCACGTTGCTGTACCCACAACTAGGTGTTTGCACGTATTAATGTGGCCATCATCTGATCATATACCAACGGATTCGTGGGTTCTTTTAAGTGCACAGGGTTGTGTTTTCACTGTACACTAGCCCGGGATTGTGACGCCTTACCACTCGACTGTATCGATACACTTTAGATAAGAGTCTGCACACAAAGCTGACTCCAAAAAATGATGAAGAAATGAAACTTGGTAGATTTGTTCTACAAACCTTCCTATATAACAAACTAAATGTCCCCTAAAATCCCATTTGAGCTAAATCCATAGTGCACGTGGAAACATGGCTACCATATGCAACCTTTTGCTAACCTAGAAGACCAATTGTGCTTGATAAAATAGTAACAACTTCTTTATTTCTGTACATAAGTACATAAATGTTTGACAATTGAGTGAATATATCTCAAAATTGTTGACTATTATTTCAGAAAGAACTTCTTTCGGTTGAAATTTGATTTTTCTATATGTTTTTACCCTTGGGTGACACAAAGACCTATAGGTATAATGATAAGGCTTAGATATGTCCAAAAGATCTTGAAGTGTATTGTTCAATGTCTTTTTCACCACAAACCACCAATTATAACTAAAAAAACCATATTTTTTTACATTTTGACTGAAACTGAAAATTTGCAATTCTTTGGCATTTTGAAAGGACAATAAATGGCCCAACAATTGCAATAATTTGATTTTCGACACCGAAAAACCAAGCAAGTGAAATTTAATAATTTCATAAAACACATTTAAGTAGCCATTTCCATGCTTTAAATAGAGTAATCGCCCTTGGATACTCACAATTTCAAGAACATATCATAACTCAACCTGACAGTACCTAAAAATAACTGATATTCTGCAGAATACCAAGACTATCAAACACTATTTACAGATTATGTAACAGGGCATCTTCAAACACGTATGATTAAAGAGGCCGCCATATAGCTGAAATCTTGCTGAGTGCGGCGTAACATTAAACTCACTCACTCACTATGATTAAAGATCTAAAAAGACAATGTTCTTTTCCTTGTCAGTCTGGAGGACGTTGAAGGCTGTGATTCAACTTCACTCTCATCAGCGTCTGTTTCATCAAATGGTAGTTGGAGAGCGGAAGGTCGCGGGTTCGATCTCCGACCGCGTCATACCAAAAGACGTTAAAATATGGTACTTGTTGGTCCCTGCCTGGCGCTCGGCATTAATGGGTACAACAAGGACTGGTCGGCTCGGAGTCAGTATAATGTGTCTGAGTGGGGTATTCATGCTTCACTGCGGCATGGTATCTCAGTGGGCTAGCACTATAAAACCAGCTTAAGTCTGGGCTAGTACAAGCATCCGCACATACACATACACACGCATGCACGTCGTCATATGAGCGAAATATTCTCCAGCGCGACGTTAAACCCAATTTTACCTCACCTCACCTCAAATGGTAGTTCATGATCTTCTTCATCCTCCTCTGCAAGGCATACTGTGTTTTAATTGCTGCAACTACCGTGACAATATCCACACAGACGCGAACATTCCAATCGTGACTTTCTGCACCCACACATACGCTCACACCCTGTTTTACAATTGCATTTGATCATGTTGATCAATGTCTCTGGTGCTGGGGGGTCACGGGTTGTTACTGGTTTGAGCTGGCCACAAACAGTTTGCCATCCGCAATCATTTGGTGGAAGACTTCTTCCGATCCATTGCTGCACTTGCAGACAAACCTTCAGACAATGTTCTCTCGCCGCTGCCGATGTAGGTGGCAAGGCAGATAACTGCATTTGTGTGAGAATGGGACACTTGGTAGCGTCTCTTGTGAAACAATGATATCTGTGCTCATTGAGGTATTTAACAGACTTAAGTGCACCATACAATGCCAGTAAGAACTGCTCTTCTGCAAATGCAACCATATCCTTTGTGGATAATTGATTATATAACTCTTTGACAAGTGGTTGCAAGACCTGTCGTTTTGTGAACAACATGACAGTTTTTTTCTTTCCCTGTCTGTACAAGGCTGAAGTAGTGTCACAACCAGTCATGGCGTGGAGAAAGAGCAACCCCGAAATGAAGCTCTCTGGCAATGCTTGCCGTAACAACGAAATGTTATATAGACGATCAGCAGTCTTTCCGCTCCCAATTTTAAGGAAGTACAATCTTTCTGTAAGACACAAATTGATGAGGAGAACCAGAAGATCAACATCAGTCCCAAAACCAATGGCCTTGTACCCATTATCAGCACAATCAATACCTGTTGGTGCAATGAGAAGGTCAGCATCTGCACTGGCTTGATATTGAGCTCATGAAATTGTTGTGTCAGAGCCTTTATCAAATGTGACTTGTTTTACCATTGGACGGCAAATTATCCTGTTTGATCGTCAATGGTGGTTCAGAATTGAAGACAATATCAGTGCTCAGATATATGGATGCTCTCCGACTCTGTTCAACACCTTTTGTGGACACAGACTCGCCATACCCATCAAACACAATGATGCAATTGTTTCCAAAGTGTCTACTGACATATGTCCGATTAGCATCATAAACATCATTGTATGTTCTGCTTTGGGGCCATATCACTTTTCTCAGCAAGTATCCACCATCACTTATGTACATAGCATCTGGCTTTATTTGCTTGACAAAGAATCAGTGACGGAGTACATGACAGATTTTTCTGTTTTCTCATTGAGTACTCATCGAATGATGATAGAGGACATGGAGAAAGTTCACATTTGAAAAGGATAAAAAGTCATCATCTGTTTTCATGAAGCACAGGATGCGATGAAAAAGCTGCATAGTATTGACAGGAATAACCTCATTCTGTATTCTGATTGAGTTGTTCAGGGCATATAGGGGGAGTACTCCAAAGCTTTTGCCAACTATATTCTTCATAGCAGAATCTCCAATTGCAAGTGCAGAATCGCATGTAATGTATTCTTTCTCTACAATTCCACTACTCAAGGAGACCAGTTCATGTCCTTGTTCAAGTGGAGAACGAGTTGATAGCCATTCAATCAGCTTGTTAACGCCACTGATGTCCCTCTCAATTCTAGAAGTCCTTAGTTCTACGTGCTGGTCAGCACTACAAAATCTGGTTCCACAGAATTCCTCGAAGTACTGAATCATTTCAGTACAACCAGGCATTGGCAAGATCCATTCCGCCAACGCAGTCTCTGTCAGTCCTCGTCCACGAGTGAGACCACTGGATGTCTTCATCGCCCGCATGAGAACCTGTTTAATTGTCATATCTGTCCAGATGCCAGCCCACATCTTGTCACTTCGCCTGACAGTAAAACCACCAAACCTGGTAAAAGCTTCAAATTCACCCTTGGGCATAATATCTCCCAGTTGTGACATCTGTTGAACATACAAATGAGCACTTCTGGCATAAGCAACATGTCCTGCAGCATGAAAATATGGTATCATCTTGCAGGCAGCATGAAGATGAAGATCCCAGTCTCTAATCCTTTCAGCTCGAATGAACTGGTGTATCAAAGAAACTTGCTCAAAATATTGTCACCACAACTTGGCAGTTCTGCTTTGAGACGATTCCAATTCCATAACTGCAGTCAGTTTTTCGACAAGGTTTGTGACATTGGCAATTGCTGGAAGTTCATCAGGGATCACATGGTTGGTTTGAACATCCTTATACAAAGTCTTCAGACAAGCTTTACCTGTTTCATCCAGGCTGACCTTCTGCAAGGCAATAACAGCTATTGCTAACTGTACCAGGGTATGTGACCTCAATGCTCTTGCATAAGAGTGATCTGTCAACAATTTTCAGTAGAGTCAGAGGCATAGATGAGTGACCATAGCTCTTTCAATCCACTGCCAACCGACCGAACCCATGAAAGACATAAGGAGACGGAAACCACCAAGTCTGACAACAACTGAAGCTAGAGTACTTTTGTTCTGGTGGGAAGCTGCAATATCAAAAGCTTTCTCATATAGAGGTTGGTCAAATGTCATAAAACATGTTTTCTGTCAATGTTTCCTGCATTTGTCAGCAGAATATGCCAGCACAGAATAATGCGTCTGGATTCGGTGCCTGCAAGTTGACAAATTGCAATGGGATCACTTTGGATACTTCATACTTGTCAACACTATCTACTCCAGCAGTGAGTGTCCTACACTTTCAACCATACTCATCTCATCCAAAGCGTATCCAAACGAATATGCACAGAGCCACAAGAGGTAAGCTTTCTGACATTGGAAATGTCATCAACAGTCAAACCAACCAAACTTTTGCTGACATTGTCTGCTGAAACAGCTGTGTTACGTTTGATAACATCAGATATGCAGACAGAACTACCTGGTGTGACACACATAATTCCACCCATACTATGAAATGTGCCATATCCACCAAAGTGTGCGAACATTAAAATCTGCATTGTCGAATACAAACTGCATGAAGGCATTTTCACCAATCTCATGATCTGCAGCCATTGCAGAATGTTCACAGGAAATAGCCTCATTATATAATGGACACACTTCCAAGGCTGACATTATATCCTGAAGGTGCTTAGATCCATTTTGTCGGTGAATATACACGACAAAACCAAGTTGTATCATAGAAAGAAATGATCTTTCTCTTGCTGCTGAGAGTATTTGGCGACAAATAACAGACGCCTTCCTTTGCTTTGTAGCAACATCACCTTTCTTATCTTTGTTTGTAATCATGTGTATTAGGCACATTCATCATGTGATTATGAAAAGCACCATCAGCAGGAGTGTAATGGTCAGTATCACAAAGCATTGTCCTGATATCCTCCCGTATGATATCCGCACTATGCACAACTGTTCTTCTTCAGGGTTCCCCACTTCTGAGAATACTTTGCATCGGTAACGATCTTGTGGCCAGTATTTCTAATGCAAACTAACGGTTTCCTTCCACGAATACTAGAAATGATAATACCATCACCAAAGTGAGCTAGCAATTATGATTCCAGGGTTTTTCACTACATTCAATCTCACCATCAACATGAAATTCTCTCAGTTTGCTCACGAGATCCTCTGTTGAATACGGACATTCATCATTTTGTTCCAGACATTCAAACAAATCATCAAAGACTTTCTTATAACATGTATGGTGATACCTGGCTTCGGCAGCCACTAAATCTATGGTGCTTGATATCCGTTCAGTAACAGCTCGACCCCACACATCACCACGATATTCAGCCATGTCAAGAATGGAATCTTTGGAACTATTCGTTCGAACTTAAAAAATATGCCTCTTGTGTTTATGTTTTATAGTCTCTGAAACTATATCACAATTTTCTCAACAGAACAAGCAATTCATTTTGAAATTGAAAGTTGACAGTGATGATCTTAAGGTCTTTCGAGGTGAGGGATTCACAGCTGCTAAAATAGACGATTCACGTGTGTAATCTTTGCGGCAGTTTACATGAACTGAAACTGAAGATATTCCAGATAATTGTTCAGCAGTTCCATCTTTGCTCTTATTCTACTTTGCAGTAAGGTAGTTAGACCTCTTGCGACGGTGACAATATCACCTGGAGATAAACTTTTGCTGCATATGATACAACACTCTGTTGGATCCATCGTGAAATAAAACTTGTCCGTGGAACTAGCAGGTTGAAATGTGGATATGCTCCAGTATGTTAAACTATTCGCTGACAAAAAGTCAAACACTTCTTCAATGCTTAGGACCCCTTAAGTGAAAGATGATACTTGATGAGCAATTATGGAAGAAAAGAGCAAGTGGAAGTTTACCGCTTCAGGGAATTGCTTCAGTCATTCGTGGGTTTTTGTGAAATAATTGTTGGTTATGTATCAGTGGTTTTATAATTGTTGCGATTTTCCACGGAAATGAAATTATAATTATAAGAATAGTTATTATATTAAACCTTTCAGATAATGTTCAGTTTGCCATGAAAGTATTGAAATGTTTACTTATCAGTAACCTTGATGAATATAACTGTGATAAGACTCATGCATACTGGTTATTACAAAGCTAGGGGATGGGGGCAACACAATTTTCTGGCTGGTATGCAAATCAATGAAATTTCGAGTTTTGCCATTTTCAATTTATATTTTCAAATTAACTATGTCTTCTAACTATTTGGTACCATTGGATAGATAAATCATACGGCAATTTATTCATGTCTGTATAAAACCAATTAAACTTCATATCAAAAAGTTTCAGGCCACAATTCAGACCCAGGGTCACAGTTTCCTAGAAATCTATTTTTAGAACAAAACGGGATGTGCACATGAGGCAAATGATTATTTTCTACTTTTTAAAGTGTTTTTATATACGTGCACTATAATCCATTATATTAGTCAAATTGGATGGGATTATATTCATAACTAAAGATTTCATGAGCATTTCTGTTTTTAAAACAGGATTTTCTTAGAAGAACAATTATCGTAGGGTATGCATGTTTGCACTTCCTTTGTGGAATTAGCTGAAGTGGGATTTTAGGGGACTTTTAGTATGTTATGCAGGAAGATCCATAGAATATATATGCCAAGTTTCGTTTCTTCATCATTTTCTTCCGACCTTGGCCAAAAATAATGGCTAATTTGACTGGCGTATAAAACCACTTTAGCATCGAATCAATATATATTTTGTTTGTTTCACGATCAATACATAACACAATGGCCATTTGTGACAACGTCATACTGCTTTATTCCCGCATCGAGATCGAGTGTGACCCTCCAAACACACAGTAGTAGTACCTGTGAATTAGGAAGACTAGGATGATGATATAAAAACTCGATATGATTTAAGAACATTTAAGAATACTCTAAAACCATAACTTTTGCCAGCAGCATCACACAAATATCAATTATATAAAAATCAGGAATGTTGTCAGTTATAATATGATATTAAGCTATCGTTATGGAGTAAAGCTAAGTTTCTAAACGTTTTTTCAACTGGACATTCCCTTCGACTTCATGTGAATTATATTCATTGATCATTATCTTGATGAAAATATGGACAATTTTAGACTGGTGCATTTTCAATAATGTTCAGTGTATTTACATATGGCTAATGTTTCTTTGGTCAGTGTCACGTTTGGCAAAACCAGTTTTGATGACAACACTTCCTGGTCAACTAAGCTGAATTACTTTAATTAATATGGTTTCTTGGAACTCTCTGCATCGTCGACTCTTCAAATGTTAAGGTTCCTGGGATCACTGTACATACCAAGCTGCATCGATTCTCAAAGATGCTCCTCATTTGTTACGGAATCGTACTGATGCAGCTTCGAGTAGTCGTGCTCGACCTCCTTGCTTCCCAGCCGACACAAGGCAGAATAGGAGCTTGAAGCAGCATCGGCCAGTCCAGCATGTCCATACCCTGGTATCTGGCGCTTCACACATTACAGAAGCAATGTCATTTCTTTTCCCCGACTGATAGATGTAAAATATTGAGTTGTTTACACGGAGGCAGTTCTGATGTTTCCACTCCCATGTGTCCAAATACTACATCGGACGCTTCATAAATTCTGGAAGTGACAGTTGTCCTGTTTGGGGGATCTGAGTGTGAGCTGAGGACATCGGTTTTACACGGAGCTGGTTATCGCATTTCAATTCCGAGATGTCCATCCAACTCTTCATAGATTCTTGAACTCACTTCTTTCCTTTTCAGCAACTGAGCGGAGATTTTGTGGATAGATTTTGGCAGGGTTGCTGTCACCGTGCGCCATGTTTCTGTCTGTGCTGCGGTGTGCACGGGCGACGTCAGACTCTTCATAGTTCGTAGAATTGTCACAAATCAATCTGTTGGCCTTTTTACGTATTACATCCGCATGCTCGTAGTTTGGGGAAATGTTCTGTTTCGTGATAGTACTGAAATTGAAAACAAGGCCCAATGTGGCTTTCACCTGCTGTTCGCGTAAAAGTGATCAAAGTCAAAATAGGGAGTTGTAATAGACACATGTTTTATCACTGATACATGCAATTTGGAAACATCCTCAACGTATCTGTCACAAGAAACTTTATGTGTCTATATCTGAATATGAATGAAACGAGTCAGTTTCATCGATTTAATTTACTTTTTGTTCAGATAGATAAATCATTTTAAGGAACTCGATTATTATTGAACGATATAAGATCATCTACGTCACCATGGTCTTATGATCTCAAAGGTTTTTGACGCGACAGTGTGTCATTACTGAAACCTTAAATTGGAATTTTTGGGTAGGATATGTTCAAGCGTGTACGAGGCAACTAAAGGGATCGGGTGGACATCTTTTTGACCTTACTGATTATGTATCATAACGTTTCAGCATACTCATGCTGTCAGTCACTGATCTGTCTGGCAAAGATGTGACCATTTATCGGTCGCCTTGACGTAGTCGTCACATTTCGGAGTGTGGTTTATGACACTAACTGAATCTCCTATAAGTGACTACAAACACACTCACCAACATACAATCACGAGAACAAGGCTTGTGATGGCTACCGCTGTACTGGCTGAAGCAGCTGCTACAATCAATACCAAGCGTGGAACATCTGAAACATATGACTTTAATTTGTTATAATATTGAAAAGTCAGTACACACACAATTGTATTACGTTATATTCATCGGTGTGATTGTGTGAAACAAATATTCATAAAGTTTGACGCTGATGGAAGAAGGGAAACACACTGCCGTATATAATATTTCATGCATTTTGTCTTAAATTATGCATCCACCCACCCATTACATCCTTTCTTTACACACACATGCATGCATGCATGCACGCACGCACGCACACATACAGTATGTATGTATGAAATTAATGCCCTCTAAAGCAGTTATTGTGAAAGCTTATATGGATTATAAATCGTTTACCCGCATTCTGTGTGGCAGTTGTCGTCTGATCGCCTGAGAACATTGAGGTGACCGGTTCTAACAAAAAGTACCGAAACTGATAAAAACAGTACCGTAATATCCCACCAGATTTACAGCCATGTCATAAAGTTGTGTGATATACATATAAAAACATACAAATGCGTATTTCATAAATTTGTTCATATACTGAACAGCAAAACAAACGCAAGTCTGGCTTTTTGTCAAGTTTTTGAATAGAAGACAACCGAAATTATCCCTAATCATTTATTCTATAGAAAACACTGTCAATTTAACAGCTAAAAGTTGCTGTTGACATTGAATTGCAATAAGTTCAAATTGATCACAGTCCGTCAAATGGAGATACCCTTGAATGCGAAAAGTGACAGTATGTTTAGTCGCGCGTATAGCCACCTTGAGTTTGCTCACGGGCCGTACAACGTGGCCTCATTGAGTTCACTAGAGTCTGAAAGAATGCCTTAGGCAACTGGTTCCGCTCAAACACCAACCTCTATTCCTATTGTGCAAGTGTGAGTGTTCGTCTACCTGCAGCAATCCTCCGCCAAATTTCGTCCCAGAATGTTCAATGGGAGCTATATCCGGGGAAAGAGACGTTAATGTTGTTGCGCCAGATAATCCATCGACCCCCTTGCTGTGTGAGGGCTGCAAACGTCGCTGGCGTTGTTGACGTGCTAAAATTGGCCACACATATGGCCTTCGGCAGTGGATTCCAGCAGTCAAAAGACGACGCCTAATCGTATCGCTTGGCACTGATCCCCTTGACGCAAGAACTAACGCTGTTGTTACTGTTGCTGCTTGAGTTCGGTTCCTTAGATGAGTGACCCGGATGAACCGATCTTGCGCATGAGTTGTCACTTGTTGCCGTCCGGTACGGCGACGATCAGCAGCAACCCGCTTTCCTGATGACGTTGAGCAGGTCGTGTAATAGTGGTAAGATGACAACCCAATTGTCTAGCTACAGCGGTTGCAGAGCTACCTCCGTGCAACTTTCCAATGGCCATTCCCCTCTGCTCAGTCGTTAGTCTAGGCATCGTTTGTGTGGTGTGTACACCTCCTAGCGTCAATACTGAACTGTTTTTTGACACAAACCTTTATAAAGGATACCTAAGAGTGAAATGCATGCTTTTCATCCATAACCGTCGATGCACGTGCTAACATTATGGTTTGGCTTCACTGTTGGTGTGTTTGTGTGAATGGTTCGTATGGACGTCAAATTGCACGACATTATCTCATCTGGAATCATTACGTCTCTATACCATGAACATTCCATAAATATGAACGCTTACCTTCATGAGATTTCAGTTTTTCGAAACTTGCGTTTCTTTTGCTGTACAGTATATATTTGTTTGAATTCATGCATTTTGATGAAACATGCATTGACAAATATGCAGGTAGAAGAAGTGCATCTATAGACGTGCAATTCCTCCGAACGGGGAATTATTAGCAGCCATTGTGATTGTTTATAAGTGCTGAAAATCGTTTACCCGTAGTCCATGTGGCAGTTTTCGTCTGATCGCCTGGTAACGTTGCGGTGGCTGGTTCTAACAAAAAATGAAATTAAACAAAAACGTTCCGTAACGTTCTACTGGATTCACAGCCATGTGATATAGTTGTTGCAATACGGTGGACTATACATGCATATACATTTGATGAAACATATATATTGACAAAAATGCAGGTACAAGAAGTGCATCTGTAGACGTGCAATTCCTCCGCACGAGCAGCCATTGTGATTGTTTATAAGGGCTGGAAATCGTTTACCCGTAGTCTGTGTGGTAGTTGTTGTCTGATCGCCTGGTAACGTTATGGTGACTGGTTCTAACAAGATACGAAATTACACAAAAACATACCGTAACATTCTACCGGATTTACGGCCAAATCATATAGTCATACAGTGGCATGTACATGCATATAAAATAAATTTAAATATATTTCCCAAATTTGTTTATGTTTCATTAAATACATGCGTTTTGATTCTTTATAAAAGTAGGCGAAAGAAGTACACCTGTTGCCGTGTAATTCCCCAGAACGAAGAACTGAGAAAGCTTTAGAAGGAATCCCTAGACCTACAAGACTTTTCAACACACGCTTGTTGAATGGATGGATAGTTACCTTCAGTCGCAGTTGTTGTCATGGTCCTTTGCTGAGTTGACGGTATCGTCCCTTTAGACAAGAAGTTTAGAAAGACACATATACCTTATGAGGTATCGTGACACTATCGATCTGATATTTCCACCTTAGATGTTGTCGGCTTTTGAAAAGCTTCTACATTTGAACCATTTAATTGACTAGCTGCTTTAATGATAGACATATTCTGGGACAAATTGATAGTTGAAATTCTCAGCTTTCTACACCATCAATCAATCATCATTAGTACATCCATGTATGTACGATACCGTCTTGCTTCATATACCACCAGTGTTGGTTGCTAACTGTGACCAAATGGCACTTAATCAGTGATGAATTCATGATACATTAACATATTCTAAGCTAAAGATACAATCCAGTTTCCCCCCTAAAATTGCGATATGGGCATGAAATCGGTCGATTGGAAAATATCATACGTGCTACATATAATACTGTGTGCACTGATTATCTGCAAAGGAGTAATTACAACTGTGTAAAGTTTACCTGTTGACGAGAGGCTGCCTGAAGTGATGGGATTATTGTAGGTAGTGTCTGTTTGATCCATCATGGTAGATTCTGGATTCAATGGGCGCGTTAATGTGGGCGTTGTTGATGTGATGTTGGCTGAAGTAAAAACTGTAGTATATTTTTTTTATGTACTCCATTCAATCAATGAGTCAACAACATTAGCTGGACCATTGATGTTGATGATCAGAGAATGGTTAAAAAGGCTCTTTGTAAAAATACGCCGGCTGTAATATCATGTTTCCCTAAATACATCAGTGGATGTAAACTGTTTGTCACCAAACCATAAATACCGCACAGTGTACTTAGATCGTACCGCATTGATATCTACGTGTAGATGGGTCCTTAGGGCATCATTATAACAGATTTTTAGCAACCTGTGCCTCTTAAGCGGCAAAATATGAATCGGGGGAGGCTTGGTGAAAGTTGATTGCTTGTCTTGGTTGACACACGTCATCTTATCCCAGTTGCGTAGATCGATGCTCATGCTGTTTTCATAATATCAGTCACTAAGTTGGCGTGCTTGAAGTGCCATCCGGGATTCGAACCCATATCCTCAGAGTCAGGCACCAAATCGTCAGCACATAAAGTCATACGCCTAACCCGCTCAGCTACCGCGACCTCCCCAAAAATGGATGTCTGACAACTGGTAGTCTAGACTGCGGACCATGTGTACCCCTCTGATAAGTGTAAATTGGCACGGCTCCCACGACCAAAAGCTATGATTACATGTACACGATGCCATTTAGAAAGTGGTTAAATGTAACATGTTACATTTACACTGAGCTGAGCGGGTTAGGCGGCTGACTTTGTGTGCTGGCGATTAGGTGCCTGACTCTGAGGATATTGGTTCGAATCCCGGATGGGACTCAACCCCAAAAAGTACTAGAATTTGTACTTTAGTAAGAAAGTGTAACTCCAAATATAACATATGTAACAAATACCGAAGAAAGCGTAAGAGGAACACTGGAATATAGTTACGAGACAAACAGTTTGGTCTCCCCTGGCTCTTGTTCTAGATTTTTTTACACGTTCAGCGTTTGATTAAAAGAATGTGAATTAAATATTATATAACAGATTATATAACAGATATTAATAATGATTTCGATTTCCGTTTTCCTTGATCAACCCATATCGGATATAATATGTATCAAATGAAACGAGTTGATATTATCGCAGATTCATTAATTATTTACTTGTGACAGAGGTAAAAGAGTCGGTTGGTCTGGTTTAACGCCCCCTTTGAAGTGAAGCAGGTCTAAGGTGTTTACCATTTGGTGTTTTTTTTAACCAACTTAATCGTGACAAACCGGAATTCAATCAATGATCCTTGGTTTCTGGTGCGCTCAGGGGACGCAACTCCGCACAGACGACTGGGTCATGCCTGCCCACTGTTTTTCCAGAAGACCTATAATATATTGACGTTGATAGTTGCTATATTCCTTTTGTATAAGTCCATGACGGTGTTAAATGTCTTTTAAGGATAGATAAGGATGAAATGAGAAGGAAAATATGCCGTTCATTATAGTTATTTAATATCAAAATGAGGACCGTTCATATTTATATCACGAGGCGCCTTCTATACACAATGACGGTAGTTATTGAAAGATATCATGTTAAGCAAGTCTTTTGGTAAGTATTTAGAAGTTGCAATACGATGCCATCATGAAATTAATGCAACACGTCACAATTTAATTCCGGACTCACAAAAGTCCAGAAACTCTCCGCACTGTGGCCACTTTCTGACAAGGGACTTAAACAAATTTAACATGCAGTTGTCATGAATATAGGCCATGGATGACCAAATGATTTTCTTTTTCTCAAAAACTCAAAATTTAAACTCGCTCACTATGATTACTATTTCAAGTCAACCTCTTGCTGCTTCATCAAAATATTAAACTCAATTAAACTTACTTAAACTCAACAGAACCGTTTCAATGTTCCTAACAAATGCTTCCGAAAGGCATATTAGATTCTGGTGTTCCGAGGATGTGAAGGAGATACTTTAAAAATACGATGCCATCATGTTTGTAAGAAAATGAACGAGCCGCCATGTATTATATTCAATGAGGTTTGGGCTTGGTGACAAGGAGCTGATACATTTCTAGGTAAGGAGAATCAATCCTAGGTTGAGAGAACTTATCAGTATGTATGTGTGAAATAAGTGTGGTCGTAAACTCTTAATGTAAATACCAAGTATTAGAACTGAGATAAGTGTTGACGACAGTCATCTCATGCAAGATCGTTTTTTTGTTTTAAAACATAACACCAAAACACATCTTATCGTTTATACATGTGTCAGGTAGCGCAACACACATGTGTAGGGTGTCAGTCCTGACTTTCAGATATTCAAGGAAGGTAGATTAACCCCAAAGGATATTCAATTGACAGGCTTATTGATTCTGCTTATCACACACTTGTGATGTTCTTACTTTCATTCATATTTAACTTTGCATTTATGTATGAACTGGTAATGCGGCGTCAGCAATGCGCGTAGTATCTACTGTACATACTGTTTACAGTGCTGGCAGTGGTAAGCATGCAGTGGCCAGTACGTTCAAATTCACATTTTACGACTGCGAAACTCCCTAAATGCCGACGATCCCATACACTGAACGACTGCGCAAATATTGCACTGAAAGTGGAAGATCTGTTAGTGAAGATGCCTTTCTAAACTCTAAGAATTATAATCTTAAACAGTATTTCAAATGTAAACGTCTTCGATCGAGCATATTTCACCTGAAAACGTTGATGTTTTGTATAGCTCATGTCTAAATTTATAATATAGTCCAAGTGAGAAAAGAAACCTAATCGATTACTTTACTGACATGCAACTCATGCATTACTGCCTTTATGAAAAAATAAATAAAATTATCCAAATATAATATCATGTGTTCATTTCAGGCTTAAACCACATGATAAAACAGTGTATATACAGCTCTTGATGCGTGTGATCGGTACAGACAAAATAAAATAACACAAAACAAGTGGCTGAGTCTTTAATATAGACTGACAACGGCAAATCTGCAATTTCTGAACACTACAATAGAAGTAGACACACCACTTGTCTGTTCTCGAAACCATATCTCTCATTCTAACCATGGCATTTTATCTTAGAAACCTTACTTCTTTTGTTTCTTACTATATTTATTTCATAAGCTAACAAAGTTACGGGTGTTTGATGCAACACTACTATTGTTTCGCTATATCCCCTTCTTAAATAGACTGCCAGCTTTCCCCTTTGGCCAATGTCCGCATAATTCAATTGCATTGTGCATATGATCCAGTGGTATTTATGATACACTTGAAGAAAGATAACTCTCTCTTTTAACAAAGCTTCAATTGCAGTTGGAAGATTGTCTGCATCACTTGAAATACCGAAATACACTTATGATTAGAGAAAACCCACGTCACTCTCGTAAGCAGATCACGCCCCATCACCACCAGCCACCCCACTACTGTCCAAATCCAAACGAAAAACTAGTTGAATCACGAAGCAAACAAACATAATCGATTGTGACGTTGTGTGTTGGGGCAAGATAGACCCGCGCAATGCTCTATATGTATAGTCACAACACACTCATTTTACTTCCCTGTTCATACCTGAGACCTGGTCGTCCTCGAGGGACGTTTACTCGTGCATTTAACTATCAATAACACCTAGCGACCTGTTGACGTTAGTCGGTTCGTCATTTCATCGTGCTGGTTATAACAGAAACTTCTTTGGGTTTGTTCAGACTATTTAACACATTCACTTATATTTAGTCTACTGTTTGCCTATGTGATGTAGATACGATTGTAGGTTTATGTTTTGGAGTACCTAATGGATTCAAGGGTACGAACATAGACGCAGACGACCTGACAGCGTGATTATATACAAGCAGTCTAGTCATGAATTGACGAATGTTGTTTACATTTCCTGTGCATTCGATGGCGGATGTGCGTGAATTTGAACGAGGCAACTTGCTACATATTGAATACGAATCCAACAGTTTAACGGCATGCCTGAACAGAGACGACATGTTCTGTATCCATGGACGTACAGAAAGCACGCATTGAACTTCTGATGACTGAGATCTAACAGCCATGCATGTTGAAAGGGCGTTTGTGATCTGTCTACATTTCTTCTTGGCTGTATATGGTGAGTAATGGTACAGACAAATGTGTCTTTGGATTCTGTATTTCAGTATGTGTAACGTGATTATTTCATCATAATTCCGGTTGCCGTATGATTTTATATCGCATTATGTACGTGTGATTTGTTGTGACTGACGCGCAAATGTCAAAAGCCTTTCATACCACTGGATTTTAAAGCTCCCAAGCCATTTTATACATTAACTGTGATATGATACATACATTGGAGACACCTCTTACAACAAAGTCCAAATCAGACTTAGACTCAGACTGTGTTCTAATACACAATGATAGTTGATCACATTTAAGACAACATTACACATTTCTGCAGCGTTAAAGCATTATTTACCTATCAGCATATATACGCACTAGTTTTGTGAATTGAAGAATACTGTACATGCACCGTTTCATACATTATATTAAAACATTATAATGTTATATATAATGGCTTATTTGAGTCACACATAATTTCATGTTTTAAAGATGACGTTACATCTTTGCTTCGAAACTTTTCGTTTATTTAAAAACAAATAGGGTTTTACCGTCAATTGGAACAATATATTCAAGTATATTTTGTCAAGTAATTTTTGACGGAACGAGTTTCAATATATTCAAAGGTGTCAAGACTGGAAAGAGATGTGTAGAGGATTTGCCGAAAATCTTTACAGTACAGCTTCAGTGTCCTGCCGGTGAATGGATACATGTCTCGCACGTGGTGTATGGGGATAGAGATGCAGTGACATGTCGTGTGAAATCTGCTGAGTCGTGTAGTAAGAAACTCGACAGCAGCCAGTCTGGCCTGGTTGTCAACTGTAATGGGAAACATTCATGTCATGAAACCATGCATGTACAGACCATCAACAACTGCAATATTACCGATGCTGCTGCTGAAGTAAAGTACAACTGCATCAAAGGTGAGACTTCAATATGGTATACCTGTATCAAAGGTGATTATTGGACAAACCTGTAGTAGATCTACGTATAAACACTGATTTCTTTAATATCAGCCACTTAGTCCATCATAGACATTTTATTGTAATTATTTACCATGAACGTCATAAACGAACGTGTAGATGCTGGATGCACAGCTGATAGCAACTGCAGTATTAGCGGTGCTGCTAAGTGCTGAAGTAAAGAACTACTGTATCAAAGGCAACTTTGGTCGTTGACGGGGCATGACGTGACTGTTAGTAAGACACAACTTAAGAATAAGGATATTTCTTCCCCCCATCAAGTGCAATCTTTTAGCGAAAAACGTGTGTCGCCAGTGGGCTTACGAATGTTATCTTCGACGACATGAACAAATATTTATGAAAGTAGCCAGAAATATTTATTTACTAATAATGTCCCCATTTATGAAATATTTGGTTGAATATACAAACAAACCCTGTCGATGAAGTACTTGTCTCGGTGAAGCATATGTATGCTCGAGCTGGTCGCAGGTGGATTATTTCGTTGTAATGGAAAATGCACATGCATTTCATAAGTCGAGATGTCAAAGAACAAGAAGCACGTGTGAGAGACTCAAGAAACATACTTAACGTGGATCTCGCAAGACGGACTCGAGGTCGAACTAACCATTTCAGCGATTAGACACCAGGTCCTCGTCATCTAACCCATGCTTAGTACTATATCAAACTGACAAAATCAACAGGGAATGATTGTATTAATGTCAGTCCTTGATTCATTTTACCTACATGTATGAGTCAATATTTAAACCCATTTATGCATTGTGTTATTGTTTCCGTAACTAATCATCACTAGCTCTTTACCATATTGCGAACCATGGTATACTGCGTTTTCTATCAAGGCTTTGATTGTCACGTAAGGAATTTGTCATTCTCACACATTTGGTCTCGATGTGCATGTCATCTAACCCCCATACACAGCACCCATTATATTGTACGCTCAGCTCACAATATACTGATAATTACAGGACGCTATCAGGCTTGAATATTATTGACCTTTTAATGAATATAGCCTTTTGTATGGTGTCACAGCCGTGTTAGTCAACTAGATTTGCCACCTCCTACTTCTTGTGGATGGAGATTCGGTGAAGAAAAATGCAACAAATATACATAAATTATAGTAACCATGTAGACGCCTTACAGGGCATGTTTTCCATAATTTTTTTCAGAAAGTTCATTCTGTGGGGTATCTTACGATACAAAATGCATGGTCCTGCACGTATAATTCACGCATCAGTTAAGAAACATCCAAGATAACAATGATATTGATTACACGTATTGAAGAAGCAGTGCTTGTGATATCAGAAACATTCAGAGCATCGACTAAATATAGGTAAATTGTGATGACTTAGCCATTTATATATAGCAGTAGCGGTCTTTCTAAAATTGCATGGTTACCATGGAAACAACATCAGATGAAATGTTGCCTGAAACTTTCAACAAAAGATTCTGAGCTGTCCAAAGATACATCTAGCTATTCCTCCGGTAGACGTGTTTCAACACAAAAAAACCTACTGCTCTATAATAAGCAACCCATGCCTGTCGTAATAAGGAATATGCAATACCATTTCAAAAGTCATCAAAAGTAAGACATGTTATATTTGGGATTGCACTTTCTCAGTAAAGTACAGATTCTAGTACATGTGTACCACTTGACCGCTTTCTAAATGTCAAACCTGATTCAAGGTGTATTCAAAGCTGTCGGCCGATGGAGCCGTGCCAATTTACACTTGTCAGAGGGGTACACAAAGTCCATGCTCTAGACTACCAATTTTCCGACTTCCATTTTTGTGGAAACCGCAGTAGCTGAGTGGGTTGAGTTTGTGTGCTGGCGATTAAGTGCTTGACTCTGAGAGTGTGGGTTCGAATCTGGAATGCGACTCAAGCAAACAAGAGTACTAGAATCTGTACTTTACTGTGAAAATGTAATCCCAATTATAACACGTCTTACGTTGTCGAAGAAACCGACTAACGGGATCGGATGGTCAGGCTTGCTGACTGACATATGTCATCGTATCCCAATTGCGTAGATCGATATTCATGCTGTTTATCACTGGATTGTCTGGTACAGATTATTTTCAGACTGCCGCCATATAGCTGGAATATTGAGTATTGCTGAGTGCAAAAAACTTGACAAAACATCAGCAATATATATTGTAAACACCAAACGCAGGATGCTGCCAACTACTAATTCGTATGCTAATTAAAAAAAACCCCCAGGTTTTACTTCGACTATCGTTGAATTTCATGCCAACTGTAATCTAGATTTTGACCTTAGTGTTGCCAGTAGGACAGAACATCCTTATCCTGGTAACAATACATATCAGTAACATTGACAGTAATTTATGAGCGTTGATTTTTGGAGATTCTAGTTCCCTTCATTTCAACCTTGATCAACATGAAGCCAAAGCAAAACCGAACAGGCGTGTGAGCAATTCTCTCTTCTCTTATGTGACCCATAACGTATGTCTCAAATTGAAAACCCAATACCAGCCTTCTCCTACTTGCCATATACATTGTATTTCAGGTAGTATGAACATGCGAAGTCCAGTCACAACAACAGTAAACGGGTCGGTGTACCTCCATTCTCCCGGCTTCCCTGACAGTGTCGGTGTGAACAGCAGCTGTGTTGTTAGGATCACAGGGCAGACTTTACAAGTAACATTGGTAGAGGAGCGGTTGAGGTCAGGGATGCTTAACATCTCAGGTGACGGGAGACAACTCTGGACAAACGTGAACGCGAACCAGTACAACAGGATATTATCTGGACAAGCTGCCGAAATAGTTATAGTCTACAATAACCATGATCATGATGGATCAAACCTGTGGATCAAAGTTGCCGGTGTGTATTAATCAAACTATCTTTTGGCGCATCCCATATTTAACTAACACCTTCGCTAACCAGAAATACGAGCTGATGCCTTTCTAACTAGTCATTGTTATTGTAAACGAGTGTTCAGTACATAAATGACATGACATGGAGCCCTATATCACGCTAGAACTATCTTAAAAATTAACATATAACTCGGACCTAGAGATTTCTACTGAAATAACTTAATCATAGATTCAGGTCAAATGAACATAACGATCAGCGGAGAAACATTGAATATATCAACTACACCTACGCCAACACAGCAGCCGTCACAGAGTACATCTGATCCAAGTACGCCGGATACACAGTCTACAGGTATTGGTGAGTGTGTACTGACGTTGTATGACCTTAAATATACGTCAAACGTTTTCAGAAGCCTACATGAAATATTTACCTCAATTCGTGTATTAATAGTGTGTTTCTTCTGTATGAGTATGGACATTATTGTTACATTAAGAAATAGTGGTCGAACGCTGTTTCGGTATGTTTCAGTGCATAGCAGCAACAACGCCCTTAAATTAGGTTTACTCATATAACTACATCGTTCCTTGCACGGATGTACCGGTTATTTAATACATTTGAAAAATGTCCTTGAAAAGATAATACATGAAAGAAACAAACAAAGCTGGCATATGCATATCTATCTATCCTTAGTTGCAGCGTCTTTTACGACCCCTACGTCTACGCATGGACATACTACTAACTCGACAGGAAGTAAAGCAACACAGTCGTCTTCCAAATCAACGACGATGGTATCAACAACAGTTTCAATAACAGACACAGGTAACCATACGCAATTACACGCATTTCGCCACGGTGTGTTCACACCATATTCTTCTATCGCATGTAAATACACACAGTCGCTACGTAGTATATCAGTAATTTAAAGTCGATACAATGTGTATGTTCCTTGAGAACTACATCTGATCAGAAGAGCTTTAGTACATACCACCAGAACTGCATAACTGTTGTAACAAAATTTTCTTCTCCATGACCCTGGTTTGGTGGAGTGAGTCGTTTTCGGACAGAAATACTCACAAGACAGGCCAAAAGCTAAAGGACGGTCACATGTAAGGTTTTTAGACCATGTAAGTGGGAAAACATAAACCTCTCTAATCACAAACAACATAAATTGTATTAATATTGTCACCCTTTTTATCCCGCCTTGGCATATTTTGCAGATTTATATTGTAACATGATGAGTATTTATCATACTTTATGTTTCAATAAAACATGACAAACGTATTGCATAAACTATCTTCAACTATAAAATGTATACATTTTCTGAAAATATATTCATCACCGTTGCTGCGATGTGAATATATCATAACCACTGACACTACTGCCATTACCACTGCTATGAGATTCTATACTGTCCTTGTAGTTGTACTGCTATTGAACTTTGAAATCCCCCACTCTCTTCCGTACTGGCATTGTAATTACATTGCAGTAGTTTGTGTTGATTTGTAAAACTAGATACTGTTATACTACAATTGTTAATTGTATAACATGTCTGTGTTGTTTGATGGTTCACACTACTTGCGACCAGACGAGATTCATGTGTATGCATTCATTGCGTATACTGTTTTTCTTTATAAAAAACAAACCAACAAATATTGGGCTGAAAAACTAGCAGGAACGAATACAGAAAAATACTGAAAGGGATGGTATAATAATAGTTGCTATAAAACGAAGAATTAATAGCAATTACGATATATTCTTATGATAGCAGACAAGTATAAATACACAGGATCGCGAGTTCAGAATTTGGCACGATGATACAACGGTGTGAACTTGATTTACTAACTCGTTGTGGAGGTCATATTCTTATAGTTCTGAGAATTCTGGCCACCCATGATGTAGAGCACTTAGAATCTGAAATGTAAAGTCAATTTTATTAACCCAATTCGCACCGTTTATATAGACAAGTTGAGCCTGCGGAAAGTGGCCTTCCGATACACTATCCAATAATTTATGAAATATTCTGAAACCATGTGACAACGTAGTCAGATGGTCGCATGAACAGTAATATATACTGAGTCAAAAAAGAAACTTCACAAATGTAATTTGAAAAATAATGAATAATTTTTTCTCTGATGATACATTTATGTATCCGAAATGGGATCCCTATCTTTCGACTCTAGAAAAACGTTAGCAAAACCAACTCAAACCCATCCATTCGTCGTGCAAATGACGTTAGTGCCAAATCAGGTTTTGCACGTGCAGTCGATCACGTGATCTCCGCATCGAAGTTTTCTTCATATGCACGTGTTTGCATTGGCCTCAAGAATTGAAAAAACACTTTGAAACCACAGTTCTAACGGTACTTGAAATGCCACGATTGTCAAATGTGCAACGTGAACGTGCCGTTGGCATGTTGCAAGCTGGAAGATCAGTTATTGACGTCGCAAGAGCAATGGGATGCAGCCGTCGTACTGTGTATGACTTGCGAGGTCGTCTACAACAAACTGGCACCACTTCTGATCGCCCAAGGTCGGGTCGTCCACGTGTGACGTTACGAGCAGAAGACCGTCAAATCGTCCTACGTCTCCTACGTGACAGATTTCTGCCGGCTACACAAACCAGGGCTGAGATGTTTAGAGGTCGACTGTTCTCACAGACCATTCGAAATCGGTTGTGGGCTGCCAATCTCGATTCTCGACGTCCATATGGAAAATATTGACGCCGTTTCATCAACGTCAACGTCTGCTGTGGGCCCAACGTCACCTCCGATGGACCCAGAGAGACTGGAATCGAGTCGTCTTTAGGGATGAATCCAGGTTTACCCTCAGATTCGCGGACGGCAGGCATAGAATCTGGAGACGACGTCGTGAACGGTATGCCCAATGTTGTGTACAGGAAGTCAACAGATTCGGGGGCGGAAGTTGCATGGTGTGGGGTGCTTTCTGTGGGAACAACCGTTCCCGACTTCTGGTCATCCGTGGAAACCTCACAGCTGCTGCTTACCGCGACCAGGTGCTCACCCCTGAACTCGTTCCTTTCATGACGGCTCATGGCCCAGGTCTACAGTTCCAGCATGATAATGCTCGGCCGCATACCGCGATGTTGACACGAAATCTCCTTCAAAACGCTGGAATCAACGTCATCGACTGGCCATAGAGGTCCCCTGACCTCAATCCAATACAGCACGTTTAGGATGCACTTGGGAGAAGGCTTGGTGGTCTTAGGAACCAGCCTCAGAATTTGCAGGAACTTGGCGCTGCCTTGCAAGAGCAATGGTGCAGAATCCCCAACCACGTGTTCACGAGCATCAGGCAGTCGACGAGGAGACGGTGTTTGGCAGTGGTGAATGCGCGGGGCGGCCATACACGATATTGAACTGAGACATTTCGCATTTTTATTCTTGTGACTTGACATTCTGTATACCCATGCATGTTTTGGAACGGCGGAGTAGCCTAATGGAACTGATTATGGCACTGTCAGTGTATCGAGTACATCACACAGATCTCTGCAATGACATAATAACAATTTAACCATCTTACCATCTCTTGTTCTTTTATAGCGCCCTGAAGAAAGAATGTGAAGTTTCTTTTTTGACTTGAATTGTCCATATTTTAATTTAGATGGATTTCAGCATGACAATGACCAATGAATATAACTAACATGAAATCGAAGGGCATGTCCAGTTGAAAATATGCTTTAAAAACAAATTCCTGTCAACAGTATGACTCTTAATTCCAAAATGCATCAACATGCAGCCACGCCATGAAAAAAGTGCGAATTTCATTCTGAAATCATACTGACTGTGACATAAAAAGCAGGTGTATGAATACCGATTCTCATTGCTTCACTAACGATTGTGAAACGAGGACAGAGATAACACCTCACGAAAGAGAACGTGCACTAGGCATGATTCAGGTTGGCACCAGCAGCAGGGATATTGCTTGACAACTTGGACTTGGCCACTCCACCATCGTTAGGCTTCATAGACGACATCAGTAGAGGGGCAGCACCCATGACCTTCAAATGACCTTGGTAACAACGTGTTACGACGCTCCATCAGGATCGCCATATTGACCTTGTCCATATCAGTAATTGAACACTGCCGACTGCCAGGACTGCTGCACTAGTTCAAGGCTGACGTGGGGGTCATCAGCACTGACTCGATGCGACGCCGTCTAAACACTACAGGGATCCATGCTCGACGTCCTTACGTTGGACCAATTCTGACTGACAGACACCGTAATCAGCATATACAATAGGCTAGCAGGCATTTTCAGTAAAAGTTCCAACAATGGCATGGTGGGGTAGTCACTGGCGAGTCACGTTTCATCTACGTAATGCTGACAACCGATTACGTGTTTGGCGTAGACGTGGTGAATGTTATGCTGATGAGTGTGTGGTTCAGACAGACCTTTGGGTGGTGGGAGTGTCATTGTCTGGGGTGGACGAAATTAAAATCACAGGACTGCCTTCATGTCTGTCAAGGGAGAGTTAATGCCCTTTATTACCGTGAGCAGATTCTTCAGAATCACATCGTATCTGTCTTCAATCACCACCAAGATGTCAATACTTTTCAACAGGACAACGCACGGGCACACACAACACGACTTTCCATGCAGTATCTGGCCAACCAACACATCCTGGTTATTCATTGGCCAGCAAAGTCGCCACATGTATCCCCCATGGAGCACTTATGGGACGAAATTGGTCAAAGTCTTTCGCGGCGACAACAGATGCGAAACATCCGGGAACTTGAGGCTGCACTACTGCAGAAGTGGAATGCCATCCTCAAGAACTCTATTCGGACGCTTATTGACCCAATGAGGAGATATTGAACAGAATGTGTCAATGCAAATGGCGGTCATACGCGATGTTGACTTTTCGATTTGGCCCAACGTGTGTTTGATCCTTTCTGACTTTGGAACATTTTTAAACGAATGAGCGTCTTTTCTGTGTTGTTGTTTGTGTCAATCGTCCATCTGTTATTATCCACTCCAAAACTATCACTTCCTTACACGTGCTTTTAATAATCTGAACTTTTATAAGTGGTGCGTTTTCAATGATGTTCAGTATATAATACCGAACATTGTGATGTACGGGCTGTATATTTAAATTTTAAACCACAAGTTTTCACATAACCGTAAATAACCGTCAGAGTATTAAGAAAAACACCATATGTCAACATATGTCTTTTTCATGTGTATATCGTAATCTTTCGAATCATGTTTCAAGGAATAGTCGTTCAACAGTACATTTCGTCTCAAAGGAAAAGTACGCTACAAATCTCGACGAGATACAATTCAACAGCCTCTTTCTCCCAACAAACCAATCGACAATGTCAGAAACATTGACACGTGATCCAACAACAAACACAACCACGGCACTGACTACTCCAAAGTCTGCTGCAAGTGAATAGATACACAAAAGATCAACAAGATATATCCGCATGAGGAATGATCACGAACAATACGTTTAGACATCACATTCAATGGACCGTACATCTTCGTTAAATTACAATATTAACCACGCAGTTAGTGTGATTTCACATTAGGGACTGACAAACTGATATGCTGAAAGGGGTGGGAATGGGATTTATGTTAGAGACAGAATAGCTTTAAGATAATAAAACTTACGTATGTACATCTAATTTGCGAGAGGAGGAACCAAGACACATCATTTGATGTAAGACATTACTTAGACCGATAGGACTTACAACCGATACAAACAGTCATATCATTGATATTAAGGATACATACCTGTTATATATACAAATCATGACCTTTGATTAATTTATGTCATTCAGGCGGTAGAATATGAAA